GAAGCAGTTGATAGGTTCTGCACTGCACATGACTGTGAATCGGTAGCTCTGGAGATAAAAGAGTGAAAGGTGTTACCTCCAGGAGGGCTGTGAGGAGGAGCAGAGCCCAGCCAGGGCTTCAGAGAAAAGCCAGGACAAAGGACAAAGGGAACCAGGCACCTTGTCTTCCAGGGATATTTTTATAGCTCCATTGTGTAGTGGAATACTTGTGATGTTTTTCTCAAGACTCACTTCTGGCATTATGTTTTGAGTCTTCAAGGCAGTGATAATATCCTCAATTTCTGATCCTGAGATCAAGTCAAGAACAGAATTTAGAATAATTACATTTTGGGTTCGTTTGTTTTTTAATATAAAGTTTCTTACAGTTGCAAAGCAGAGGTATGTTAAAAAAATCAGAATCTATTGTCTATTTTTTTCCCCTATTTTAATTAAACTGGTTACAACCAGTGTATGTTTCCATGTTTGTTTCTTGCTTTTTATTTTTAATTTGTCTGGTTCATTACTCTTCTAAATACCAGCCATTCAATTATCAACACTAAAAGTGGATTTGCTTTTTCTCAAAAGAAAACACTTCCCAAAGCCACAAATACATAAAGGAACATACAAAAAGAGTAAGGCAAGGTGGGTCTATGAACTCTAAGAGGACTCAGAGTGGTGCAGAAAGTGAATCAACATCACATGTTCTTCTTCACCTGTATCATTGAGGATGAGGAGATTTGTCAACTTAATTTGAGTTTTATCTTCAGTGGTAAGAAAATACGAGCTTGCCAAGATTTCCCAGGCACTGGAAGTCTCCCACAGTTGGAATCCCAAGAAAAACGTGAGTATTGGAAGAATAAATATTCCAAAGAATAGCAATCTAGACAGAAAACAGACCATGAGTGGCTCCAGAGAACTCCACCTTTGATTAATTGTGTGTTTTATGTTGCAAAGGGCATGGGGAAATTTCAGACTTAAGCAATTCAGAGCTCTGCCAGTAAATTCTAACTGCTCTCATTACTGCAGCTTCCCAACATTTCCCACCTAATTCTTAGCTTCCAAACCTCTCCCACCACTACTCCCACAGCCACTCCAGGGAACAATCAAGTCCTTTGGGAAGCCCCAAGCCAGCACGAGGGCTGCAGGGTGGACGAGATCTCCTGTACGTACATGGACCTGAGGAACTTTCCTTCTTGCTTCAGCTTGAGGAAGCGAACCCTCCCGATGGCACAGACTTGCTGCCTCCAGAGCTCCATCCCACTCACTGCCAAGCTGCCCTGCTCCGAGAACACCTGCAGCCTCTGGGCCCTCTCCTCCAGGTCTCCATCTTCTGCACGTTCACCGTGAGAAATCCCATTATCCACAAAGAGCGTTCAAAGGACACATTTTAATTGCAAACAATCAACAAGGATCTTCTGAAGAGAGGAAGGCTTTGCTTTTATTTTTAGCCAGAGAAAAGATAAGGGCAGAGAAAAGGGGCCATCATTTACCCAGAACTTAGTTTAGATTGGTGAATTCAGACCATACAACCTGGGCTTGTATGGCAACACATCCAGTGTCTTCACTGGGCCTTGTGAAATATCTTCTGGCTAGTTTATCTCTTCCCATCTCCTGGTCTGGGCAGCACATCCTTCAAAGGTAAATACCCTCCCAACATCATTCTCAATGCATGTGCTTAAAAGCCTGTGGGAAGTCAAGACTGAATCATCTAGACTTCTCCAAGGAGATAACCCTTCACTAAAGGAAGGCTGAATAAACTGCAACTCATGACCTATTAACAGAAGCTCACTAGTTATTCAATTAAAATGTATGTATATATGGAATCTTTATCAAACCACACTTATAAATTGGAATAAATGTTTTACCTTCTTGACCAATGGCTTCCTCACCCTCCAGCTTCAGGAAGACATCTTCCAGGGTTGTCCTGCTAACCTCATAGTTAACAACCCCCTGCAAAAGGCTGCTCTCAAGGTGGTTGAATAGATCTGCATGACAGAAGCAGCCAGACTGAGCCCAAGCAGCAAGGCTAGTGTTGAGCAGAAGCTCAGACTGGCATCATTAATGTTGTGCTTTTTAGCATTAATACAACTGATTTCCATAACTTAGAAGCCACAGCAAAATGATCATGCTCTGTAGAGGAAAGTAGAACTTTCAGATTTCTTGATTACTAGGGGGGAGAAATCTCATCCTGAAACCAGAGGAGACTCTGGATTTTAGTCTGTAGATCAGTCGGTGGATTTTCTTTTGTTCATCTGCAGTATTGATACTGATATCAATACAATTTGATACTGAGCAATATCAGTATTGATATTAGCATGACTATTGGATCTTTCTTTAAGGCTGATGTTTAGCAGCTCTGGGCTTCTGAATCCCATGCACCATGGACAAGGGAAGAGAGCTATTCCCTTCACAGCAACTTGGCTTTTCTGCTGTTTCCCTTTACAACCCTGGCACAACGACAGGCTTTTCTTACCTGGGAAGCTGTCTGTGTTTTCCAGAGGCAGCATGTAGCAGAGCTCCCCTCTCTTCTGCCCCTTGAGCACAGCACCAGGGACATACTGCCTGACCAGGGATGATGCAAGCTCAGGATCACACAGGTCATTTATCTGCATCCTGTTTGTATAAAAAAACATTTGCTTTAATATTAAAACCACACACAGGATCCATTTAGAATACAAAGCCAGTGGTGGTTCTTCAAGCCATAGGGAACCCCCCCAAACTGGGCAGCATTTCAGTGGGAATTTTTACAGACAGCTGCAGTGCCCCTGGTTTTGCCACACATGTGAGAAATAGTTGAGGTTCAGAACCATGATCCTGGCCAGCACTGCTAAACCAAGAAGACAGAAATTAAAATCCAGAGAAAAACAACTTTACATTCAAGCTGTTGTACGTCACTCTGGCACCACAGAGTATGTGGGAACTGCAGTTTGTCTTGTTCTGGTCCCCTTTTGGCTGGGAAGGAGGTTGCAAAGTCATGTTAGCTCCATGCCCAGAGCTTTCAGGACTGGGCTCCAAAGCAAAGCAGCTTGCTGCCCAAGGCAAGATAACTTTGGCAGCCTCAAAAGCTTTCTAAAATGAATCGTCGAAGAAACTCTATATAGAGACACAGGCTCTATGAGAAAATACACCTAAAAGCTTCTCGTAAAGAGAGTGATGACCAAAAAGAGAAGGATTTACCTTAAGTGATAGCCAATCTCCCATTTTCTCTTCAAGTACAGAGATGAGCCAACACACTGTAATCTCCCCTTGGAGAGGAAAGCTTTCCGATCTAAGGAGGCAGGAACACAAAGGATTTAGGGGGATTTATAGCAGTGCTCTGGGCTGACCTCATGCTGCTCTTTCTGAACTCAGACATTTTTATCATCAAATTGAGAGGAGCAAAACCAGGCCAGAGCTGAAGGCTTTTATTTCTTTTTGAACCATTGCCCAAGCATCAAGGTTAATCTTTTAATTTTGTCTTCTTGCAGGCTTGTGGAAAATTCCCTATTGCCTGGGAGCAATAAGGAAATGTGGAAGATATTAATTCAAAGAGTATCACTAATTTGTGTGGGTGCTGCTAGTGGTGCACCCAGACAACTTGCAGCTGCTACACCCTGAGGCAGAACACGAGCAAGGCCTTGGAAGGGCATGACATCCAGTTTGTGCCTTTGCCCAGCCCAGGCTGAGTGGTCACTATCAGACAAAACGTGTCCAGCGAGCGCAGATGACAACGTGGCAGCCCCCCCTCTGCAATGGGAAGCCAATTTTCAAACCAGAGTCAACCCCAGTGTCAGAATCTGGGCTCACCAGCATGAGCATCAGCCTCCTCCATGGGCTGGGAGGTGAAGAGCAGGTGAAGAGCTTCACGCGCCCAGCCTGGCCTTCCTTCAGGAGGCTCCAGACGTGGTGCCTGGAGCAGGGATCCAACCCCAGAGTTGGCTCATCTAAAAGCAACACCTGCAAAGGCCAACGAGATCAGACCACCATGTCTCCAAGCCTGCACTTCTGTGTTTACATCATCTCATCTCATGCTTTTGATGATCTCGCTCTAAGAACAAAACACATCCTCAAATATCAGCCATTTCTATTGCTCTTTCTCCTATGACAATATTACCCTTCTCATTTAGAATACAATTCTCACTGCCCAAGATTCCTCCATCCTTCCAGCAGCCAAGTGAATTAGTAGGTCAGCAGGCTTGGAGTGCCAGGGGAAAGGTATAAATGTCCGTGTGCCAAATCAAAATGCAAAACTGCTACAGCAGTGCACGTTGTGTGTGTGGAAACATGACCAGCTCCTACCTGGGGATTCCCTAGAATTGCAATTCCCAGGGACAATTTTCTCTTTTGTCCCCCACTCAGAGTATCAGCACGGGTGTCCTGGAGGTCAGTGAGGTCCAACATCACCAGAACTTTCAGCACCTTGGCAATACACAAAGATGAGAGTTAGATTTCCACAACGCTGCACTTTAACTCATGTGTGGCCACACACAGTGCAGGGGAGCAAAACTCAAAATGATGTACTTTGAATGGCTTTGTTGAGAGATAAGTACTGCAAAATCTGACTTAAAATTCTTACAACAGAAAGAGAATAAAAAATGGAAGAAAACACTTCTCCCCTAAGTGAGGGTTGTTCTCATTTCTACAGAAGGAGATGCTCATTGGCAGCTTTTTTACAGAAAAGTTCAAAGTGCCCAACATGCTGTAAAACAGGACAGTGCCTGAGAAGCACATACCAACCTCTTGCTCTACTTCCTTCCAATGAATCCCTTTGATGTGAGCAAAAGTTCTCAAGTTTTCCTTCACTGTTAGGGCTTCAAAATGCAAATTCAGCTGGGGGCAAATCCCAACCATCGCCTGAATTCCTTCCATATCCTGCACTTCAGACACTTTGTAGTTGTAGATCATTGCAGAACCTGCACAGAGGAATGAATGAAACAAATTTCATCCTGTAGACTGCTGTGTGCTTAATTGACCTTTGACCTTAATTCCAGCACTCTGGGTGTTTCTCAAGTGGCTTTTATCTATTTTTAAAAAATAATTTTAAAAAATTATTAATAATAATAAAAGAATTAAAAAATAGCAAAATTACTTTTTGTTTTCCAGAGCTTTAATACCATTCAAAAATATTGCAGAGCACCAAATCTCCTAAGAGCTAAAACATGTTTCCTATGGATATGCAGCTCATGGGAAGCACAAGGCCATCCAGATGGAGAAGAAACCACCCATGCACAGGGGAATGTATCCACAAGGGACACCTTAGCCCTGAAGCTCAAGCTGAAGGAATAAAAACTGCACTGTCAATGAGCCAGACTGAATAACTGAGGGGAAACCTGATTTTCCTTATCTTTAACCCTTTACACTTGAAAAACCAAACATCTTCCAGCATTCAAGTCCATCACCTTACCTGCTGAAGGCTTGGAAAATCCACCAAGCATGTGTAAGAGGGCAGTTTTTCCAGATCCACTGTGGCCAAGTAATGCAGTGATCTGCCCTTCGTAGATATTTAAGGACAAACCTAGAATAGAAATAGGATAAGATGGGGATGGAAGTTTGAGAGAAATAGCCTTGGACTCATAGCTTGCTGCCAGGTGTGGCCAAGGGGTGACATTTCTTTTGAAGATGAGAGGGAAAAACACAGATCCAAAGCCATGTGTTGCATCTTCAAAAGTCAGGACTAAACCGAGGAACTTGCTTTCATGACCTGATTGAACTGAGGGATGAGGGTATTGACTTCAATAACTAAAGAAGTTTGACTTCTGTTTTCTATGAGGTTCATAACCTCTTATTTCAGCATGGCCCAAGAGAGTCCCCAGAGAGAGAAGACCCCATGGCCTTACCAACTGCTGAAATTTCAAGAGTTATTTCCAAGTAGCCAGACTTTGACTTCCTCATTTCTTTTAAAAACAACCAACCAACACAATTTTTTTGTGGGTTGTTTTTGTGGGTTGTTTCATTTGTATGTTTTTTTTAACTCACCATAAACCTTTGAGACCCTGATGATATTTTCACTGTCACTTGCAGTTCTGCTTAAACAAAAGCATTTCATAAACATCCCACAACCATGCCAACTACTTGCCCACCTGCAGCTGGCAGAGGAACAAGTGCCTGCAGGGCACTGCTTAGCCAGCAACAGTGGCCTTGGCTCCCAGCCAGTGACCAGAGAAATAGTTTTGTTTGCCCAGAAGAGTTTACTTTTTGAGATGGAGGTCTAAAAGGTGATTTTTAGAGTGGTTCATGGCTGCAAAACCACAGCTTTTAAGGACACTTCTGCTGGTGCAAAAAAATAATAAATAGTAACTTTCCTGGAGTGAACAGGAAGGTAACAACCTGGCAGAAATTTGCCAGTAATTCACCCCAGCAGAAATAACCATTGCAGAATGCATTTTAACAGTGCTGGAGAGAGCATGAAGTACAGCCATTATGTTTCAAAACAGTTTGACTTCATACCTAGTGAGAAATGAAAAAAGAATACCCAAACCTCTCTTACCCTTTAAAGCTTCTGTTCTCTTGCCCTTCTTCTTGTAGATTTTTTGAATATTGTTTAGTCTAAAGGAAAGGTAAACAAACCATTAGTATCGAGTTTGACAATTCTGGTGTGTTTTATCCTCTTCAAAGTAACCTGTGAAAAGCACTGGAAGAATATTTCTCAGCCTCCTCCTCAACCTGGTCCTGCTCACCATCATCAGGTGTCAGTGCAATTCCATCTGGAGGAATTGCTTTATATCATTCATTTTTTTGTACACTTTAAACCAGAATTAACTCATGTACTTCTCTGAAGGGTGTTTAAAAGGTTCCAAGGTCAAACTCAGCAAACACTTAGTGAATGAAGTGGGAGGCCCTGCTGCCTGGTGGCACTGATCAGGTCCCCTCAGTCATCTTTGCTTCTGCACCAGTGAAACAGGTGTCACTGAGTCTGTTTCCCCTCCTTGCCCATAGACATTGGGAAGAAATTCTTCATTATGAGGGTGATGAGACACTGGAACAGGTCACCTAGGGGTGTGGCTGGCCCATCCCTGGCAGTGTTGAAGGGCAGGTTGGATGGGGCTTGGAGCAGCCTGGGCTGCTGGGAGGTGTCCCTGCCCATGCAGGGGGTTGGATCTAGATCATCTTTAAGGTCCCTTCCAACCCAAACTGTTCTATGAATCTATGAAAATATGTGCCTGTGTCATTAAAAACATTGACCTCTTATTAGATTTATAGTTACTTTCTAGTAATAAGCAGTGGGCAGCAACAGCAATGGGCCAGACTGGCCCCATGAGGATGCAAATAGCAGCATCTTCTGCAACACACCCCAGCAACCTTGTCCCTAGAGCCAGTGGTGAAAGGGAACAGTCACTGCTCCTGCTCTCCAAGGAGGGAGTTGCTGGGCAGCAAGTCAGTCCCTGGCACATAAGATGCACCATGTCCTCTAAATGTTCCAGTCCAGCTCTGGAGCAGAGCAGAACACTGGACAAACCCCTCTTCTTGTGTATTAACCTGTATACATTGACAGCTCAGTCTAACTTGCAGCAGTGCAATGCAGCTGTGCTCTCTAGAGTCAGTACAACGTGCAGCATTCTGCTTCTCATGCCTGATTACCTGATTGCTTCCTTCCCATGGAAGCCTGGAGGCATTGGCTCCGTGTTGCTGCTGAGGGTGGGATCCTGGCTGCTCTCACCACCAGCTCCCACCCCCAGGAACCTGCTTCTGGGCCTGAACCAGTATGATGGTCTCAGGAAGAACGTAGGTGGGTAAGGTACTCCATATTTGCCTGATTCAGAAACAAAGAAGGTGAAATATCAACCAAAAGCTGCTACATGTCAGCTTTGATAGGTGCCACATCCAACCATCTCTCCCTCCACAGCTGCAGGACACAGCAGCATGAGAGGGTTGGTGAATTCTGCAGTTGTCCACTCATCCAGGGCTGTCAGTGCAGGTGGGGAGCAACCACAGCAAACACCTCACTGACCACCTCTTTGGCCCAGAAGTTACAGGGCAATGAGGTGAAATCCAACAACATCTTGTCAAACCTGGTGGTTAGGGCTGCTGCAGTAGATGTAAAGGATCTCAGTACCTCACTGCAAGATTTGATGTCCCTTTCAGAGCCTATTTTTGAGGCAGGACCCAATGAGGTAGCTACATGTACCCTGATTCAGGGAAAACAGGATTCTTCCCAACCAGTTTTTCCCAAGAAGTACAGCAAATGGAGTTTTCAGCCCCTCAGGTAACGTGGCACAGCTCATTCTTGTTAAGGTGCCACACAAAACCTGACCAGCTCCCTACCAGGACACCTTTGTTTTTTTGCTCCACACAGATGACAGCATTCTCAGCTCTACCTCACCACTTCTTTGACCCCTTTTCTGCCATGAGGGGAGAGGATCATAGAAGAAAAATACAAATTTCCTTGCATTTCCCCCCACATTCTACTTACCAGGCAAAACCTTATCGAAGTAGATGGCCAAGAGGAAATACAAGACACTGTCAAGGCTCAGGATGATGTACAGGTGAAAGGAAGGGTGCAATTCTGGTGCAAAGGCTGATCTGTGTCTTTGTAATTTTACCATCTAGGGGAAAAAAAGCACAAGTGAGATGCAACTTTTCCTTCAGCCAGAAATATTATGTGAAAACCAGAGCTGGGTCATCACAACCATCTTCACCAGGCACACCTGCCCACCTGTGATGGTGACACTGTTTCCAAGCAAGGCAATATTTTATTGTGACCACAACTATCAGAAGTGCTTCAGCCAGCTGACTTAATCATTCTGCAGAAGAAGTTACTACAGCAGAAGGGAGATGCACACAATATTTGATGGGGCAGCACTGCAAGACCTCACAGTTCTTGCAGATCTTGGCACCCACCAGACACATCCCACTGCTGCAACCAGGCTCCAGAGATCAAAGTGCATTGTAATATGGAGCTGGTAAAGTTTGTGATGCAGTTGAGAGTCTAAATATATTTATTATGACTTAGCACTTACTTTTTGGAGGCAAGTTTTCTTTTTACAAAGCACCTTGGGCAGAGGGGCAGATATTTGCTGTGGGCTGAACTTTTATGGTGTGCAGGCTTTATTTTGAACATACCTTTGAGATGCCAACTGTAAAGGTGAAAGGGCTGAAAAGATTAAAAATCCATTCCACAGAAGGTGGCAGTTTTTCAAACAGTGTCAAAAAGCCCAGCAGTCCAAAGATGATGTGATGGGCAAAGCCCACGAAAATGACAATATTTGGCTGCTTTAACAATGAGCTGAGCATGAAACAGAAGTGAACCTGCAGCAGAGAAGAGCAGTGGTTAGCAGGATGCATTTCTGCTGGTGATTACAAAAAAAAATAAACCCCCTTGAAAATTCACATGAAAAACAAAATTAGAGACTCAGCTGAGTTTCAGTTGTCCCCTACAGATGCACGTGGCAGAGCTGAAGGCTTGTGTAGCTCAGCAGGCAGCTCTGATGTTTGGGGCAGGTCTCGAGGAGCAGACAATCAGACCCCTCTTGGCCTCCCAAGAGTCACAGAGGAAGCCCTGACCCCAGGGACACACAGCATCAGCCTTCCCATCCATTCTGCTGTCAGCACCTCTCTTCACTCTGATTTCCAGTCAGAATCTCCCAACAATATAACAGGAGGGACTTACCAGCCTACAAATTACACCAAGAAATCCTAGAAGTGAAGTTTTTGTTACCTTCTCATACAATGCCCTGCCCTACAGCACTCTGGGGTCTTAGAGTTTTGGATGATTTGATCAGCAAATGGAAAAAAAAGAAAAAAGGAGAATGCACCATTTAAGAATGCAGAAGCCAACTTACAGATGCTATGCCATAAAAGAAGTAAAAAAAGTATATTTCAGAAAAGCTGTGATCGTAGATGATCCCTCGGATGGTGATCAGGGTCAGCAGAATGGACGTTACTGAGACGTAAAAGATGTACAGCAAGCTCCAGGACAGCCTAGAAATGAGGGCACAGTTATTTTTGACTCTGGACATGACAGCACTTGCCATTACATGGCCAGAACATGACACATTCTTTTTGATTCAAATACTTCAGAATCCCCAAATACGCTTCCATTTCCAGTTTCCAGATGGGAAAGGTACAAATGTCCTTGTCTTCAGCAACATGTAAAATTGGCATCAGAGAGCCCAGCCCTTGGGTTAGGCATGGGGCAGGGGGAATTATTGCTTCCCAGCTGAGCACAGGTACCAGAGCACACCCATCCTGTGAGCTACATCTTGTGAATCCCAAATACACGAGATAGTGTCATTCCTGCAATGACACTTTTATTTCTACAAGACTTACCAGAACGCGGTGTCTTGCAAACCCATTGCTCTCATTAACACCTTGAGCTTCTTTTTCTCTCTTAGAACTTTCACTGATAAAAAGTACATATAGGGGGAGAAACACAAGATCATGTAAATGATGATCCAGACATAATTCAGTTTATACACAGGTTTCAACAGGGGTGATTCCAGCCGAACGCCGCTAATTGACTTCATCTCTTCCCAGACAGAATGGTTTGTTTTCACCTGAAGAGAAGAAGTTACCCATCAATTTGACTTTCTGTGATGATACAGCCAACATCAGAACAGGTTTTCCTAAGCATTGCAGCCATTAGTTTGCCAATAACGACGTGACATTTGTAAGTGGCAAATAACCTCAATATTTTTGTATTGCCTTGCCATAAACGCTGCCCTCGAGCCATGAGAATGATCTATCATTCTTCTAGCTGCTGAATCACACTATGCATGTAAAAATGGAGAAAATTAACTAGTTTGGGGTTTTGTTTGGTTTTTTTTTTCATTGTTGTTGTTTTCTTTAAGTTTAGAGAGAACTCTGGAATGAACAGGAAAACATTTTCCATCACGATCACACTTACTTCTATGACTGCTGCATCAATGCTGGACTGCACGGAGAGGAAACCTCCGTACCAGTACAAAGGCACTTTGCAGTAACTGGATGAGTAATTGTAGCAGGTATCTGTGGGAAAGGAAAACATAACGAAGAATTTGATCTAGATAATCCCAGATATATCTATATATATGCTTATCTATATATGAGGGGTTGAAAACGTAGTTGACCTAAAGAATCTGGAAATCAGGATCTGATTTTACTCAGCCTTTCCTTGTCATTTCCATTTTCCAAGATCAGCTCTCAGCAAAATACTTCATTTTTGGACATCAACTGAAGAACTCTCTTGACTTTTATCTGATAAAAAGCTTTCTTTTTGTTTTGGAGAGCTTACCATTTGTAGGCAGGAAACAGAGGTGCATTTGGTCAAAGAAGTAGCAGTGAGGACAAATGTGTGAGTAGGTTTATGTTTTAATATATTAACTATATGTCCATGCACTATAGGTTAGAAGAAGATTAGTGCACACACAATGCTGGTTTCCAGGACATGGCAAGTCACAGAAGGAAGAGGGACAACAAGGTCTATGGTCTTAAAATTATTTTCCCTTGATATTTCTTTCCTTCTAGGCGAACAAAACCTCAAATTCTAATGAGTGTCTTTCTTGAAGCATTTAGCACGTCCAGGCTTGATCCCTTCCCAGTGCCACGGAAGCACAGAGACCCTTCAAAGCACTTTTAAGTGTAAAAATCAAGTTCTCTGGTTTGATTTGTTACCAATGTGTTCGAAGACATCGTTTGGATATACCACACTGTAGCTTTGAAACCTGAGGTGGTAGGAGAAGTCATCATTAAAAACAACACCAATAACGTCTCCTTCCAAAATCCCTCTTCTTTCCAGTTTCTTCTCACTTTCCTCCTCTTCTATTATTATACCTGTCATTAAAAGAAGAAGAAGGAAAAGCATAAAACCATGGCAGCTGAAACTTGGATCAGTCGTGCAAAAACACAGACGTGAACCATGTACCCTTAAAAACTGTATTTTCCTCCTCCTTTTCTCCCCCCACCCACCCCAAGGAAGGCTGAGGTGCCCGTGGTGTCAGGGTGGGTTCGGTCACTGCAGCTGCAAGGACTGCAGAGCAGTGTTACCTCTCAACACAGAAGCTGAAGCCACTTTGGTCATGATTCTCCTGGTGGTGTTTGTTACAGGGGTGTAGGCGAGAGTGATTCCTGTGGCATTGAAGGCTGGGTCATCCAGCCACCCCAGGAAGCTGTAAGGGATTTCTTGATGAAAGTTGTCAAACAGTCCGACTGATGATATTTGTATTATTAAGAGAAAAAGCCCTGATGTGACCCATTCCTAGATGGAAAAAAAGAAATGCAAATGTGAGAGGCTGCTGGGTGGCTCAGGGCTTGGGGGGGATGGGAAAGGTCCCTGATCTGGCTGCAGGATCCAGCTCCTCCAGCCCTCAATACCTTCTGTCTGTAAAGGAGGAAGAGCTAGTTCACAGGTGTAATAATTTTTAAAATATGAGGAATGTTCCAAGGGAAAAACATGTTTTCTTAGTACCAGAGCCAACGAGGTCTGCTGATAATTTTACACCAGCAATCATGAATTGGACATTGTGTTCTTCTGGAGAGAGCAGAAATGGGATCAACAAGCAAAAGGAACGAGCCAGCCCAGTAACAAGCCCTTATTATGCTGTGATGTTGCAGTGGCTCAGGAAGAAGTGTAACTGCTGACATTTACCAGAGAACCACATTAGCAGCTGGGGCTTCTCAGGTATCACCTAGCACCAAAACAACACAACGTAGGAGTCCTTCATAGTGGAAATCCTAACTTCCCTTTGGAAGAAGGGACACTTGCCTGAAAACTTTCTGTCTTCATCCTCCACACCAGAAGAATATTTTTCCACAGGAGAGCACGGGTTTGCTGGAATATTTTTGAGGCTCTCTTGATTATCCCCTGCATTTTCCCAGCTAGGTTGAGAAAGAAAAGAATCTCATTTAGAATAGAACAGATCACTGGAAATTAATATATTTCCTTGGGTAGATGCCACTTCAGAGGGAGTGACATGCCAGAGGTTAAGAGCTTTTCTCCATTTTACAGTTTGGACAAGGAAGAAGTGTGAAAGAACTAGTCCAGGATGACTGTGTGGAACAGAGAGCTGGGGTGAGCTCAGCTGCCTCCTCCACAAGCACAGGTTCATCCTTCTTCCCAAAAGAGGCTTGTTAGAAAAAGGCATTTAACTGCCTATAGCTCGATTCTTCACCTACATAAAAGTAACAGGAAAGCCAGTCCTGACCTGTGTGAGAACTGAATGGCATATAGAAGAAAACTGTAACAATTTTAACTTTTTAATTTTATTTTTTTTTAATGCAGTTATTCCAAATACTTAAAATAGACATGACCTGCAGCAGCAACCCCAGCTCCTGAATTTCTGTCTCACCTTAGACATGTGTTGTGTTGGCAAACCACTGCTCATCTGCTCTAGGTGTTGTACCCAGCCCCTCAGACACCACCACTCCAGAGCTGCCCCTCCCCACAGGGTCTGCAGGGGCAGGCAGCTGCCACCAGGAGGGGGGTAAATGCTCAGAGTACCTAAGATAGAGGCTGCCACTGGCTCCCTTATGCAAGTTGGTGAGAGATCGATTTGTCATGTTTCCACCCAAATGCTGATACCATTAATGACAACTCTAGTACAGCCAGAGCAGAGCAGCATCAAAGCACCAGTGTGTTTCTTTCTATCCTCCCACGGGCTGTGCAGGGAGTGCTTACTGGGGGATATTTTTATGGGGAATATTTATTTCCGCTCCAACTCGGATCATGTGGCCAAGCAGCAAATATCCTGGGCAGGAGCAACAGCAGTTTCAGGGTGACTGATTTCACAACTCTCCCAGGAGAGCAGGGGAGGGAATTTCAGAACATGTTTTTCTATTTTACTCCATTAAAATGGCTGAAACCAAAAAAATCAAAGCAAACGCATTGTGCTCTTTTCCCCGTGGACATCATTTCCTGATTTCAGGGATTGGGCAGCTGGAGTTAATAAACAGTTCCACTACTCTGTTCCCTTCATTGTTTGTTTTTGGAAGAATTAAATATTTACGTACTCCAGGGGCAATGGATCCAGAATCCCTGTTTCCCCTCAGCCTGTGAGCAACAAGGTTGTCTCCTTGGTGCTCTGCTTTCCCTGCCTGGAGCCTTCTCCTGTGCTTCCCCAGCTCAGCCTGCAACAGAGGTGAAGGGCAAACAGGAAGGGATTTCTAGCAAGTGTTGCTTTTTTTTTTTTGCCCAGGTAATTCAGCTGTTGTGAGCTGAGAGCAGCTGCCCAGCCCAGGGTGTTGGGGCAGCAAAGAAAGCTTCACTCTGGAGTTTTTGGATACCATGGAATACACAATTATCTTGTAAAAATGACACCAAATCTCTACAGACGTAAGAAACACTTCATTAAAAAAAAATATGGAGCAAATCTATATTTTTTTTTTTAATTACAACTCATTTTCTTTCAATTTTAATCTTATTTTTTCCTTTGAAGCAAGAAGCAAATACCCAAATACCCCTGAGACATGAACCCAGCAAGTGAGACTGCCTACAAATGCTGCACAAGCTTCATCAGGGAGAATAAAACTTAAATTAGATACCAGAACACACCAAATGTAAGCAGCAGAGATACCTCCACAAAACCCAAGGTTCAAACCTGCAGATTCAGGAGACAAATGCAAACATCAGAAATGTATTTAGAGGCAAAGGTGTTTGAGAAATCTCAAACCAGTAAGAGCATCACTGGTAAAACCAGGTGTCTCTGGAAGCATTTCCCTTCCCAGGGCTCAGTAAATGCACCCCAGATTCTTGCTCTCAGGATCACACTCCTCAGGCACTGCAATCACCTCCATGGGATCCTGTGTCCAGCTCTGCTGTACCTAAGGCTGTCCCAGGAAGCATGTCCCATGTCACCACGTCATATATTTACCATCTCAGGGGTTTACTATTTGGCACCTCCTCAGAATTCCCCCTCAAGTAATAAAAACTTTACAGAGCATATTGTGACTAACACCTAAAAGCAAGTTAAGTTGCTCTCCAGGAGCACTGGCAGGAGGAACCTCTGGATGCTACAAGGAAAGCAACGTGTGATGCATCCTGTGCTTCCTGGAGGAGACACCTGCTTTCCAAGAGCCAGCAATGAATCCCTGCACATGGGGAATGCAGAGGAGAACGTGCTCTCCCCAGCCCCTCCTGTTTGCCAGGTTTTGCAAACACAAAACCCTGCATCTGGACCCTCTGCAGCCCTGATAAATATGCGACAGATTCATACCAAGGCCACTTTCACACCTGGTTTTTGAAACCAATTTTTTTTTCCCCTACATTCAGCTCAAGAAAAATAGCTGGAAGGCTGCCCTGTGTCCAGGTTCAGCACTTCAGGTCATACAGAGAGGGTGAACTTTGGGGGGGTCCACATTTTTAGAAGCCTTCCTTGGTGCTGGCACAGCTGGAGGGGGAGCCAAGGGAAGGATCACAGCGGGGAGGACCCAACTCTCAACCTGTGGCTCTTCACCTACAGCCCAAGTACATCAGCAGCAAAGATCAAAAGCCAAGCACATCCAGCAAAACAGAAGAGTTTTGGGTCCTTTGCCTCGTAAACGTTTTGATGCAAAGCTCAGTGTTTGTCAGAACAGAGCTGGGAAGCACAGCTGGATGCTCTTCTGCATCCAGCACAACGCTGTGGTAACAAGGAAAAAATTCATCACCAAACAACCCCGGCGTGAAAATACCCCAGGTATCAGCTTTCCTTTTTTTAAAGGGAAAAAAAAAAAAAAGGGAAAGATGGAATTCCTTACCTGGCAATGTGTTTTCCATTAGGAACAGGTCTCCTTCAGCCCTGAGGTGTCTGGGCTCCTCGTCTCTTTGCAGCCCTGGGGAGGGTTCCCTGCCATAGCAGCTCCCGTGGCCATGCCCCCTCCAGCCTGACGTCAGAGCCCCCCCCGGCATTCCCAACGTTTGGAGCAACCACCCAAGAGGGGAGCAATGGCTACAGCCAGCTGGCCTGGACCTTGCAGATAGTAACACTACATCATGCAGTACTGAATACAACACGAGCATCATCTGGGATATAACAGCTTGTTCCTACCAGGCTGACTCAGTCCTGGGAAGAGCAGCAGTGGGAAAGCTGTGTGTCCCGAGATGGGGGGACCCTGAGCTCCCCATGCCTGGCAGAGCAACCTCATCCCTGCCCAAGCTTCTCAGGAGGGAAACTTTCACCACCTCCTCCTTGTCCTGCCCGAGTCAGCAAGCACTCCTTCCTCTGCAGAGGAGAATCCTGCAACCCAGGACCAACAGGACTTTTACTTCTCGTTTCTCTTTTCCTGTTTGTTTAATAGTATATATATTATTTATTTTTTTAAGCTTCCACTTCTTTGAATGGCTTTTCAAGCAGCTGCCACGCAGCTGGAATCAGAATGAAACTTGTTGTGGGTTTTTGTTTTTCAAAAACTAAGTTTCCAATGGATCTGCATTCAAAACAGGGAGGTGACGAAACAGATGAATCAGGAAAGCCAAACGAGCTGGAAGGGTGCACAGCCATGTGATAATTGAAGCAGTTACAGGAATTTCACTGTCCCAGAACTTCAACAGCTTGAGGACTCTGCATCTGATTATCAGAGATGACTAAAACCCCAAATGCTGTCTGGTTGTTGCTTAACAAAAGGCTGTAGTTCCTCTGCAGCTGCTGATATACTCATTTTCGAGGAATGAGCTTAGGAGAGGAGTGAAGCCTTTTTCTCCATCACCTCCCACCAGGCAACAAGCAAGAAATGGAGAAAGCAACTCCTGACTGCAGGAACACGTTGCTGGGCTGCTCCTCACTAAAACCATGTTTCTGACACATACCCTGTGCCAAAATGTGCTGGCAGCTCCTGGCACAACCTTGAGCCCTACCAAGCCTGCACGTTATGGACAGAAAAAGAATTTTGACATAAAAATGACACCTGCTCTGAGCACCCCTTGGGGTTTCCCATCCTGTGTACTCCGGGTGCTGCTCTCAGCTCTGCTGCTCAAGTGGGATCCCAGACCAAGGGGACCTGTTGGGGCTTCACTGAAAAGCAGCTAAAGACCACAAGCATCTCAAAATGTCATTGTAATTAGAACCCTGAGTAGCTGCTCCACAGAATTTCTGAGAAGGGGACTCAGGACCAACACTCACCTCTACCAGGAGGAGGAGAGGAGCTGAGGACAGAGCCAGGATCCTCCAAGGGGGACACTCCAAGCAACGTGTTGCAGGATAAAGGAGAACTGAAAGTTCCACAACGGTCTCAGCGAGCAGAAATTCAGCACACTAACTTAGGGACTTACTGAAGATCTCTTAAGGGAAGCATTACAAGGGAACGGGATTCTTGAAAATATATGTCATGTTCCCTCAACACACCATTTAAAGAAAAACTGGTCTGAAAACCTGGGAACTTTCAAGTTCAGGTTATGTTTCTTTGGGGTTATTTTCCTTCCCATTGAGGGCTCCAGGGAAACTGAGGCACAACCCCCTTTCATCTTCTTAGGTCCTGGAGGCGAAACCCCTCCTCCTCCTCCTCTTCACCAGCAGCAACACCACTGTCCCTCGTGCTGGAGCAAGCACCTGAGCAGCCCCCTGGGGCACGGATCCCAACAGAAAAACGAGCTCTTTCTTTTTTCCATGGGGTTAATTTCCCGGTGGCTGAAGGTCCCGCGGGCGCCGCGCCAGGAGGTGCAGCTGCCGGCCCCTCTGCGCGCCCAAGGTGGGTGGCCAAACCCCAACTGTTGCAATATGGCAATTCCCTGAATGCAATTCAAAAGATGCAATTCCCTGAAGGCTGGAAACCCCCAGCCATGCCAAGAGCCAGGGCCAACCCGTGCTCTGCCCAAGCCCCTCGAGCCCACTCACCTTCACACCTCGGGGTGCTCCAGGGGATGGCCGGGGCTGTCGGGAACAGCCCCCCCTGTTTCTAGCACAGCAAAACACAGGCAGGACAAACACAAGCTTTTAACAATCCAATCCATCTTTATTTTGGTAGTACTTTCTGCTGGAAAAGGGAAAAAAAAAAAACAACCAAACACAAATCCCCTCAGCTTTTCCAATACAGCAAAATGGTACAAGAAAGGCAGGTGTGTAAAACAAACCACCAAGGAGGCAAAGTGCCTGATGGCAACAGGGCTACAAGTGGGTCACCATCAGCCCCACCACCTTCTGTTCCTGCTACCAGAGTACTGGATGTTGGCTATGGAATAGACTTTACTTGCTATACAGAGACATTTTTCAAGAAGAGCTTTTCTTGGTAACGTAAACCAAAATCAGACACGTTAAATTCCTCCACAGATGATACAACCTTAGAACAACTCCACAAAGTAAACGCATCTTCCAAGTTATGGATATACTAGCTAACTAGTTCTCACAACAACCCTGCAAGGAAATTAAAACGATCGTATTTGGGACATGGCACAAACAGAACTGATTTGCCCCGAGTCCCCCAGTCAGCCCAAATCCAGCTGCCTCATCCCCCTCTTATCTCAAGCACAAACTGGGTGTATTGTAGGGCTGTGCTTCAGCATGTCACTGGTTACAGCCAAAGTGACTTAAAAACACAGGAGCAAAGTTCTCAAGTTTCCAAGGGATTCTGTGGTTCCACTTAGCATGTTTTTCCCCTTATTCTGGTAATTACAGCCATCATATGACACTGGGAAAGACTTCTGATACAATACACGGTGAGCACAGTGATGTGTTGGGGTGGCATTTTATACTGCATTGACACATGATGCCACCATGCCAGAAAGATCCCACTCAAACACACAATTAACATAACAAGCCAAATTCTTTGTACACGTAGCTGCATAAATACTGAGGCACCATCAACTGGGTCACTCCAGGGTAAACAAGAACAGTGCCAAAGTGAGCAAATCAGGCTGCCTAATGAAAGTTTTCATATGATCCATTTGAAACATTAGAAAACGAGAAACACTTTGAAATAGGAAGATGTCATTCAGGCAACACAGAACTGTTTTACTATTAACTCTAAGTTAAAAAATAAAATGAAAGGGAGACATCAAGGCTAACAGGTCACAACTGCACTCTGGGTCCATGTGGAAAGGGTGTGCTGGGAATTGCTGGGGAGCTGCAGATGCCACTCAGCTGCAACACCATTCACAAAGAGGGATGGAAGAAAGAAGTGTGGGGTTTGGTGAAGATGCACTTAACATGTATGTACAGACATGGGAAAGCATCACAGGACAAAATTCTGGGTCTCATCTTTGCAGCAAATGAAGGAAAACACTCAGAGAGGGGCCAGCAGCAGGGATGGAGCTGGGAGCAACAGGCCAGGGGTCCCCGGGGGCCAAAGAAAAGGCTGCATAGATGAAAGGGCTGAATTGGGCAAAGTTTTGTTTCTGACAGGCAAACTTCAGCCCTGGAAAGATTGCTACTTTTAGAGGCTGGTGCTGTAATCCTGTGGCTCATTTCCAGCCCAGGAGATCAAGGCATGTGAAGGTACCACAGCCCAGGGCTCACCAAAACTGGCAGAGTGATCGTCCGTGCTCCCCTGGGGAGGCAAAGGGGACACCCAGGTGCTTCTGCAGTTCTTGGGCTCAAATTGAAACTACAAAACCAAATCTCCAAGTTTAAATGCAACCTACGGGTACAAAAGGGGATGCAGAAGTTGTATGTAAGGAGTTCACACCTCCCCATTGTAGAGTTAGAAACTAACGAAAACAGATTTTGACCCAAAATGATGCTAAACCATTATCAGATGTACATCACACACTATTGCCTGATAATGACAGTCAGGACACAGAACTCCACCTAAACCCAATTTTTTTTTGAGTTTTCACAAGAAAAAACAAAGGTCTTTTCTGACTTTAATGTGAAGACACATAATTGATATGACTTATGAAGCCAATGTTTCAATATAAATGCATCTCTCTATTTGCTCATCGCAGAATACAATGAGCTGTTAGCAATCTTTAATTTCACCTTAAAAAACTAAAAGAGTGATGATAGCTTTGTGTAGAAAAAAAATAATACATTTTCAATATGCATCTGTCATATATTAGGATAAAGAATCACATAATCTGCTCTTAGTGCTTCTATGCAAACCAAAGGCACCGTTCCTACTGATGAGGTTGGGAAATTGGATCTTTTTTTTTAGGGGGGTCACAAAGGTGAATGAAAAATTGCCAGGTCAGGACAAAGCAAACATTCCTGTGCAGAGCACACCACTGCAGCACTGGCTGCCATCACCACAAAGATGGATTAGGAAATGCTGTTGCAATGTAAATTCACTGTCAAGAAAAATGAGAACATCTAACCAGGCCTGTCCTCAAAACCAGCTGCAGATGCACATCCTTACAGCCAACAAAACAATTAGACTATTTTTAATGAAAATAAGAAATGCTCATACCTCTGCAAATCCTGTAAATACACAGTTATGTCTTTGTACTTTTACCAAGTGTGGGGGAAAAAACCAACCAACCAAGCATCTACTCCTGTACCCCCCTTCAGCCCCACGGTGCCCACACCAAGCCAGTGCCACCCAGGACAACAGGAGGTCTCAGCCAAATCCACCAACTCACAGCAGCAAGGACACAAACACAAGTGCTGCCAAATGCTGTGCTCTACCTGTAAATGAGCATTTCCACAGTGACTGGGTGCCAAGCTCAGCTGGCAGTGTAACCCAGGACCCCTCTGCAGGGAATCAAAGGACTTTGGAGTGGTTTTTCCCCCTTCTCTTCTAAGCGGGTGCAGCTTCTAAGCATAAGCAGGGATGGATGAGCTGGTGGGGAGAAGGACCTTGCAGGGATATGTGTCTGCTCAGCACCTTGGTGGGCAGTGATGGCCAACTGAGGGCACAGGGCACAGCAAGACCCTGTGAACCCACAGGGTGGGACACTCCAGTGGCAACTGGTTTTGCTCAACAGCAGGATTCCTAGCAAGGACAGCCCAACCTCTGGCTGCCAGCCCCAGTGCCCATGAAGGAGGAGGGCAGGCAGGGGCTCCTGTCCAAGTGACCAACACCAGGAGATGACCAACTGCTGCAGCAGCATCTTCTCACTCAACACAAACCCAGAAACAGGGAGGAGAGAAGGAATTTCAGATCAGCCAGAATCACAGTGGGGATGCTCTCCGGTCCCACCACCATTGCGGCGCTGTTCCTAAGGCCGGGATGGTGGGGCAGGCTCAGGGCTTCCCAACACCACCTCCTTTGTCCGTCCCAGTTCCAGTGTTTCCCACGCAGCTGCCCCGACGTGTGCAGCGCATCAGGGCTGGCATGAAGCAGGAGCTGCTGAGCAGATGGGGACTGCTGGAGCTCAGAAAACAACTCTGTCTTCCTGTGTCCTCTCCCACCAGAGCGTGCTGTTCAGGGTGCCCAAGCTGTTGTCCTCCTCCTCCTGCTCCTTAGCCAGCTCCACAAAAACCTGCCACAGACAGACGGGATGTGAACGCACCCTGCTCCTTGTAGGAATTTGCTCAGACACAAACAGAACTCATGCTAAACCCCCCACAAATACTAAGGGTGTTGCTTTACTTGCATGTAGGAAATTTTTTGTATTTTGGGTTTTTTTTCCTCCTTGCTCCTACCCTCCTGGCTCATTTCAAGAGCACAATGAAAAGGAAGTTGAACCAAACATGCACTAAAGGACATTTATCCTCAGCAATAACTAACCCAGAATAAGCAGTAATAAGCCTCAGCTTTACCCTCCTTCCAGAAGTGAGCAGCAATGCCCATCTTTTGAATAAATCATTTCCACTGATGCCACAAATTGATTTTGCTCCAGTCACTGCAAGTTGTGTGTCTTATTTTAAAAGGAAAGGAGAAAATGGGAGTAGATCTATGATACCTGTTCCAGTGTTGCCTGAGAAAAGCTGTACTCCTCGATGTTAAAGGCATGTTTTACTGTTGAAAGAATTAATGAGAGAACATATTTAAGGATACTTCATTGTGACACAGCTGGATTTAAAGCATTTTAAGCTGGTACAGGTCCTTACTCTTGATTTCACAAAAAACAGAGCTGGGAACAGCAATAATAATAGTTTATAAGTTAACTAACTTTGGAACAGAGATGCAGAACTGCCACTGGATGGTAAATCTGTCAGTTGTGGGAGACAAAATGATTTCTCCATGTGATACATGGCAAGTGCTTAATTACCTTCTTCCAGCTTGGAAAAAGAATGTGAAAGAGACTGAACATCTTCTTTAGGAATTTTATAGGCCAAAATAGAAGCAAAACTGGAAGGAAAAAAAAAAAGCAAATTTACCTTCAGGTAAAATTACTCAAAACAAAAATACTATTATTCAAGTGAATGGATTTAAATCCCTTTTCTGAAGGTTTCTCCAGGCATTTTGACTAGTCAGTATCATACAAGACAACAGGAATGACACAGTTCCAGAAGACCAGCAGCTTTATAATGTGCCTCAGAGATCCAGGTCCAAGTGCATCAGCTGAGACCCACCCAAGACTGCTCTATGATTTAAATGATTTTCAGCCAAGATTCAATGATTTATACTCTGTCTATCAACTCCTGGAAGAAAAACCCCTGCCTGGGATGCCTGAAGTTATGAGGTTCTTTTCTTTCAAATGAACTTAGAGGTCACAGGATCTCTTGGGAGTCTGGATCATCCAGTGGTTCCTGTAACCCAGACTCCAGAACAAGGAGCTGCTCCACCTCACACATTTGTTTCTGAAAAATGAACTCTCCTCCAAATCTCCCAAGCTGAGGAATGCTCCTCACACGATGCCTGCAGTGCCCTTTTCAGAGAGTCTCCTCAGTGGTCACCAAGCCAGACCCTTGAGTTTGTTCAGCAGAAATTCAAAGCTGTTAGGGTAAAACCAACCAACCCACCCCCAAACTTTGAGAGACTCTCGGAAAGTGTTTCTAGGAAAGGGTCAGTGCCTCAGTGACTCATTTTACTCCCACTTCCCAGGGGTTCCCAACCAAAGAAGAAGCCATTAGCAACAGCTTTGCAGAAATCAGCTTTGCTTCCTCTGTGCCCAACACCCACATGCAGGGCTGGCTTTCACTGGCCTGCAACACCCTTCCTCTTTGCATTTATTTCAAGCTACGTGCCAGTACTTTTTGTACATTTTAGGATCATGACATTCCCTACTTGGTGCCAAGGAGCTGCTGAGAAATCAAGAGCCTGTATGAATATCCATGTTTTCTGCATATTTGTCAAGTTTACCTTTCCTGACGATTTGCATTTGGGAAGATGTGCAGGATCTGGCTCTGCAGATACTCCACCTGCTGCACGTCTGCTGTTTCTTTTAATTTCATTTCCAAGAAGTATCCTCTGCCAAACTTACTCTTCAGGTGTTGGACAGTACCTATACACCTACCAATTGCACAGAGAAAGTCATATTTATACACGTTATAACACACTCAAAAAGCAGCCTAACTCCTAACAGACCCTTTTAGCAGTTTAATTTTGCTCTAAGTTTAAGGTGCAAAACAATTGTCTAGCTGTATTTTGAAAGAAATATCTTCTAGCTGCTCTATCCCCCCCTGCCACAACAGGGGAGGGCTCCAGTGGTACCTGAGCTGCCCTGACACCAGGATGGCCACACGGTCACAGACAGCATCTGCCTCCTCCATGTAGTGAGTGGTCAGGATAGCTGCTCTCTCCTTGTTCTTAAATGCTGCTCGAATCGCCCGCCTACCAAATGGAACAGAAGAAAAGAACATCCCTGAATAAAATATTTGGTGGGTAACAGTAAATCCTGGGTTAGCAGGAAAAGAGCATCGTGATGGTCAAACACGACCCCTTTATTTTATGGCCCAGTTCTACTCCCACAGCAACAATTAACATCTGAGTTTTTCCACAAAGATTTCTCAAACCTCACACTCCTTCGATTTTAAGATTTATTTCGACTTTCAAGCTCTTCATCTCCAAGCTATTCTGGGCAAGGACACTGAGGAAGCACACCCAGCCCTAAGGCAGCGTTGGTTCCCTGCCTATGGCTCTCCCTAGTGTTAACAAGGATATTGCAGACATACAATCAGACAAATCCCCACAGAGAAAGGAGCAGACACAGCCCTGGTGGCAACTCACCACATGTGCTGCTTGGCTTTTGGATCCATCCCAGTTGATGGTTCATCCAAGAGCGTGACCCGCGGGTTGCCCAGCATGCTCAGGGCAAAGCAGAGCTGGGAAGGAAGAAAAGGGAAAGGGTCAGGACACCCTGGCTGCTGGGAACACCCAGCACAGCAGCTCCCAGAGCTGCCCCATACCTTGCGTTTCAGCCCTACACTCAGCTTCTTTGTTGTCTTCTGCAGGTGGTCTTTTAAATCCAGGGCACTCGCGATGCTGCAGAAGAGGGAGGAACGGGTGTGAAAGGCTGAGAGGGGGCTGGCTGGGCTGCCCCCGCCCCACACAGCATGCAAACAGCCTCACTTCAAGAACTCAGTCACTAATATCTGTATTTAAAGCATAAAACAGAGCAGAGCAATACGCAGAACAGGAGCTGGGCACTTCCAGAGAAAACCACCTGCCCTGTGTCAGCCCAGCGTGACCATCCAGGAACAGCTCCAAGCCCTGGGCTCACCCACGGCCTCTGAAAAGGTCATGGTTAGCACTCCATCACTTCAAAAGAAAGAGTTAAATACTAATACCAGTTGAATTTTGTGTAGCTGAATCTGTATCTCCTAACTTACAAATTCACACTTGCTGAATTTACTGGGAAGATCCAATCAAATGCAAATGAAAAAAACCAAACACATTAGGAAAAGTAACAAAAACCAAAATGCTATAAAAAATACAGCTACACCTCAAAACATTCCCACAATAAACTACTTACCGTTTTATGACTTCCTTAACATCAGACTGACTCATTCCTTTGATAGCACCATAAATTTCAAAGTGTTCCTGCAATGTAATATCTGGCCAAAGAGGATTTGTTTGAGGACAATATCCCACGAATTTCACCGAGTCATCGTCGCTGTTTGAGCCAAAAGAAGAATCTCCCATCAGAACCTGCCAGGAAAATGTACAGACCTTGGAATATTATTGTGCAAGTTTTGGAAGTGTTTTTGTAAAGTTTTTGCATAAAAACCCCACGCAAATATTTGAAATAATAATAAAAAATTGATATAGGTGAATTTCCTATGTAGGTTGCAGCACATAACGTACCTGCCCGCTCGTTGGCTCAATCTCTCCAACAAGCATGTTAATTAATGTGCTCTTCCCAGCTCCATTGGGTCCCAACAAACCCAGTATTTCCCCTGCAGAAAGGGCAACACAAAAACATTGTCCACAAGATCAGATAACTGGATTCAGGAGGATTTCTGTAAACAAAACAGCTCAGCAGCAAGTCATGGAACTCCAACCTTTTTTTACACACAGAGAAACATGTTTCGTTGCCACTTTCTTTATTTTTCTCCCCAGAAGAAATTCCTTTCTTTCATCAAACTCTTTGTGCAAGCTGCTGACCAGGATGGCTGGCATCTGGTAGAGAAGAGAGAAGTAGCTGCAGATCCCAGCAGCTCTGGGGAACATCTGGATTTGGGATGAGGGCACTGCCCGCAGGCACAGGGAATTACCTCCTCGCTTTTGGGGCTGCTGAGGATTTCCCGGACTCGCAGCCTCTCTGCCTTCACATCTTCATCCTCGTTCTCATCACGTGGGACATCTGGGAACTTCCAGGGTTTGGCTTTTGTAAAACATTTTCTAAAGGGGAAGAAAACAACATGAAGCCTCTGCTCAGTGTTGAGATCTGCTCTCTGCTTTGATGGAGAAAGCGATTTGTGTTGGCCCAACACATTTATGCCTCACAACTGAGGAGCCTTAAAAGAGCAGAAAGAGCTGTCAACTATTGCCAATATTTCACCTTCACACTGAGCTCTGTGTTGGGCTGTGGCAGCTGGAGCCATGCTGTGGGAAAGGAAGTTCCCCTGTTTTTATAGCCTGGATGTCCTTACAAAATTCCCCATTTTGCACTGATACAACTTAAAAGGAAGTTAAACCCCTATTTATGCACTTTCTTGCCTGACTTTCAGATAACTAAAGTTAGGAGAACAAATTCTTTAGACTCTTGGGATGGGAAATAACCAGAGGTATTCTATTTTCTGCAGTAACCCCCATCACTGTGCTCTGCACACTCCAGTGTCACCACCAGCATCACTTTGAAGAATGGCTTCTTGGGACCATTGCTCCTTAAAAGTCTGTTCAACAGAAACATACCTGAAGAATGGATCCTCTCTAACTGTTCTTCCCCCATTCTTCAGCTCGAAACATCTCAGTAGGAAGAGCCACATGACACACTGCAAATAGGGCTAAAATAGACAAGAGATAGTCCTGGTTACTCAGAGCACTGCCAGCCCTGTGAGGCTGGTGGTCCCAGAGGTCATCTCAGAGATGATCCCACCACACAATGAGTGAGAAGCAGCACCAGCTCTGATGTTTCTGAGAAGATGAAATGTATCATTAGATGCTGCTCAATGGGTTGACATTGAAGGTGCACAACCAGAATCTGCTTAGACTTAATAGCAATTATTTGCCTTTTGGAGAGAGATGGGACTGTCCCCTGCTCTGGAGTTCTTGCTCCATCAGCATGGGTTCCCATAATGATCAGGATTAACATCAGCACTGTTAGTAAGACAATTGAGGCAGCAGATGTTGAGCTGGTAGGCACAGCAGCTTTTCCTGATCCTGTTTGTGCTGCAACAGGTTGCAGAGCTGCAGGCTCCAGCAATGCTCAGCATTAGATCAAGTCTTTATTAATAAAGATGCCTGAACAGAAGGGGCCTCCCAGCAGGAGCTGGCAATTCTCTACAGCACATTTAGCAAATAATCAAATCATCCTGCTTACAGCTATGACTGCTACCAGGAGCCTGTCCCACGGGTCGTAGTATCCCCCGCTCCTCTTGCCTTTCCACGAGACCTGACAAGGCAAGAAAAAACCTGCAGGTAAAGAATCACTTACCAGAGACTGCATGTTCTACACTGAGCTGTAATTTCCAATCAGTCACTTAAAACCTGTTGCTCAAGCAGTTGCTGAGCTCTGCACAGACCTTGCTGCATGAGCTGAACGCAAATAAAGCTCCAGTAAAAGTCCCTGGGGCTGCTCTGGGTTTAAAGCCACTGACTCCCAATTAACCCGTCTCCCCTCACTGCAGTTGCCCAGTGAACAGGCTGAGAAACACATCATTTTCCTTCAGGTATGTCACAGAAGACTTGCTTCTTCCCTCATTTTCAAGCTGCAATGTCCTTATGGGAAAAAAAAGGTGAGTTTTCACCAGCAGTTGCTCTTCATGCGTTAAATGACTATGGAGGGCACCACACCCCTAAGACACTGACAACACCCACCCCAGCCCCTCACAAGCACTCTGGAAAGAATTTCTTGGGCCCCTTTACCTTTATGAAACAAATCAAACAGCCAATAAGGGGATAAATAGGAATGAAGATGGAGAAAACATAATGCAGGATGGTGGTTACCAAGTAGTAGTCCAGAAAAAAGGTCACTTCAGTGACAACCGTACAGAGCAGGGCTGTCTGCACAAAAGAAAAGGAAAAAGTCCATTTTCATTCAGTTCAGGCTAAGTTATCTTATTTGAGGCACATTTTAAAAAGTTTTTTTCTCATTTAGGATAAGGCAGTGATAGACATCAGTAAATATTTCTAACTTCTTGCGTGTTAAGGAGACACAGATAGATAAAAGAACTGGGAAGCCTGTTGGGGCTTTGGAGATAACTCATCTTCCCTGCTAACTGGGCTCAAGGGGAAGGTACTCACCACTGAAAATATAAATGACCAAAATTCTTTTGTATTCTGGACTTTTTTGAACGTGAAGGAGACCACGTAGGTGAAGAGCACGACAGAGGGGACATAACCAATCAGGCAAAAGATCTGCAAAGATAGGAAAGGTTTCTCAGGAAATGTACAGCAAGAACCCAGGGGTGAATTTTTTGTGTAAGCATTGACTGGAATTTAGTGTGCTCTGTAACTCAGGATTCATCTTTGTCACTTAATTTGATCTATTTTGCCCCCTTGGTACACCCAGCAGATGCTATTAAAAGACACAAATAAAATACTACATGGACAGGCAGGAGCCTCACTCAGTTTCCTTTAAATTATTTCCCCCTCCTTTGTTTTTTTTTTTTTTAATCAACACAGGCTCCCATAAAGGCTGACTTGATCATTTTGGCCAATAGTAGGAATTCCACCCTTCAGCCTTAGCATTTTCACAGAAATTAAAACAAGAGCAAATGCACTGGTAAAAAACCAGCCCTGCAGCACATCCCAAACTTGATTAAATTGGAGCTTCTGGGAAAGCAGCTGGGAAAACCTCATTCTTCTCAATTACAGCCAATATCTCAGGGAAGCCCACTCTGAATATAGAAGACATGAAGACTTGTAGTCTCTTCAGTTTAAAGACATGTTGGGCTGTGTTCAAAAACCCCTGTAACCTCTATGTAAGCTGCACACTGATGCAAATGGAGCAATGACCAAGAGGCAGCAAGGAGGGCAAAGAGGACTGGGCAAGCAGGGCAAAAAAGGATGGAGCATCTCCTTGGAAGATCCTGGTGTTTCAAAACTCCATTTTATTCCAGTTCTGCATGAAACTCCAAAATATTACTATTTTTCCCCCTGAGAAGCAGTGCTCTTTTGCCTTTGGTGCAGCCTGACCGATGCCTCTGTGCCCTCATTACACATTGTCCCTGGCTCTGTTGGAAACAGCCTGTTGAACCATCTAACACAAAGAAAATAAAAATTAAAAAAATAGATAAGAAAGTAAGATTGTGGGAAAATAACACAACCAGGTTCTGGCATCCCCACGTGTGCTCCCAGCCCCACCACACTCACCACAGCAACAAACTTGCCCACGTAGAAGTAAACGCCGTAGTGGAAGGCGAAGAGGCTGCCGATCATCAGGACCAGGATGGAGTAGAACAGTGGGAGGTCAATGATGGCTTGTCCCATCCAGTAAGCAGAGGGATAAAGCCCTGCAATCTTCAGCTGTGTGTAGGATTTGATCTGCAAGGGAAAAAAACAAACAAACCAGGCAACATTTAATTAAATGGTAATTAGTAAAATTGGAGACCTCATAGTGGCCTTCCAGCATCTGAAGGGGACCTGCAGGAGAGCTGGGGAGGGACTTTTGGCAGGGGCATGTAGTGAGAGGACATGGGGTGATGGATTAAAACTGGAAGAGGGGAGATTTAGGTGAGACATTAGGAAGAAATTATTTAGTGTGAGGGTGGTGAGACACTGGAACAGGTTGCCCAGGAAAGCTGTGGCTGCCCCATCCCTGGCAGTGTTGAAGGGCAGGTTGGATGGGGCTTGGAGCAACCTGGGCTGGTGGGAGGTGTCCCTGCCCATGGCAGGGGGGTTGGAACTAGGTGATCTTTAAGGTCCCTTCTAACCCAAACCATTCTATGAATCTATGAACATTTGCCTTGGTGGGTGAGCAGGATCATGTTTTTCCTTTTCATCCACCAGTTTTACACTCATGTGCCTTGCCCATTTAGTATGATTTTAGCTGTCAAAGCAACCAAAAGCATTTCCATGGAAAGTAAAAGGGCTTTTCCCAAATCTCCTCTACCCAAGGCAGCAAACAACAGTCACATCCATGCTGCCTCTCATGGCAAAAGATGCTATTTAAAATATCTCTTTGGGTTCTCCCAAAATCCCAAGGTTTTTGTGCAATCTGTGAACCCACATCTGGGATTTTTACCTTATGGTTTTCTGCATTGTCCATGGCAAAATAGGGTGGCATTCCAGTAATAATAATTCCCAGCAGCACAGCTTCAAAATAGATCTCTAGTCTGAAAATTGTGTCTGGAAGATTCTGAAATATAAATCAGATTTTTTCAACACCAGGATGTGAGTGACCAAAATTTAGAACTGGAACATGACAGTAAATGCTAAAACTTATATTCTGTGTCTCTCAAGATCACCTGAGCTGCAGCCTGAAGACATAAACCTATGGAAGGTTTGGGGTGTTTATATGACATCTAACAAACTCCTAGAGCACTGATCTCCTGCAGCAGGTCCTCTCCTCAGGCCACCCCAGCTCTGCACCATTGAGAGCTGCAGGTAACCTGTAACAACCCCTTGATAAATTCCCAACAGGAAATTCCTAGCCCCCTTTTCCTTCCACAGGCTGTAGAACAAAATCCCAGCACCTTTCAAGTCCCCTTCCATTCTGCAAAACTCCATATCCCCAAGGACTTACTCCACAGGCTTTGGCTGCTGAGCTCAAATCCCTCCTGATGGTGCTGCTGACAGTCCTAAACAGCTTCTCCCTTTCTTTTTGGTGCATTTTTCCCCCCCCTCTTTCCCCATGGGTTGTTTTGCCACCTGCTCCATGTTTATGGGTGATTTTTGCCCCTCCAGCACCTCAGAGGTGCTGCTCACCTGAATGAAGGGGTTGCTCCAGATCTGGATGGTCTCTGTCACGTTTAAATTATGCAGAAGTAGGTTGCTGACAATATTCATCAGAACTGGCAGGGAATGCACCATGGTACTGTTGAATATGACTGTGAAAACATAGCTCTGGAAAAGAAAGTGTTTGATTTCTGTATTAATTCTTCTGCACAAAGGGTAGTAACACCCTGGGAGGGCTCTTCTATGGGCTTAATTACACCTGGACATTGGGAAAAATCTTTGACTAGTGGAGTCTGCTTTGCAGAAAGCACAGGGTGGTTAAAACACAACCTAATTCAGGAAAAAAAGTCGTGCTTATGGAGACCAAATTATTTGCAATAAATTCCCAGGATGTTTTAGATGCTCTGTGACCCTATGACAAATACAACCCCTGCTCAGATGGTCATGCACTTCAAAACCAGACAAGCAAAAATTTACATCAGTCAAGGGTTGTGCTGCTACTGTATTAACAGCTTGCAATTAATAAAAGTGGGTGCAAGAGACACAGCAGATCTATCACACAGCAGCTCCTTTGTTGAAGATCAAATACAACCCCAGTGTTAAAATCTGACACTCCTTCAGTGACCATACTGAAATGAATACTTATAATCCAAGAAACTCAGTTTTCTTTACCCATAAGAGCACCATGGAGTTAACACTTCTGTCAGATTGTGTGATGCAGCCAGTAGAACTAAATTCCTAGGCCAGGTCTTTCGTGAAGTACAATATTTCTCTTGGCTTTTTGTGGGGTAGAAGGGGGGATGGAAATTTTATTATCCTACCATAATTATAATTATTGAAGTTTATTTTTATAGTATTTCCATTCTGTTAATACAAGTCCTCTTTGCAGGCCTCTTCTGTAACTAAAATTATATGACTATTTATTATATGACTCAGCAAGTGCTTTTCAGGCAAGAGTGCAACAGAACCAGCCCCTTAACTAGCTGCTTGTCTGCTCTTTGGGACGTGGCCAAGCTGCTCTGTCTGTCTTACCTGTCTGGATTCAAGGTCAAACACGTTCAGAGCTGCACTGTGAGGTGCAGCTGAGACATAATCACTGTCATTGAACATCTCCAAGAGGATGTTCATGCTCCCAAGAGAGCGGACAATGTCATCGATTCCCGAGTCTGGTGTGAGACAGAGACAAAACCATGATTACCCATCACCTACTTGGAGTATTTCACACAAAATTATTGATGCATTTCCCCACTGACAGAACCCCATCACAGTTTCCTTACATTTGACAACTGAAAAGAATTCTTTGCTACCTTCAGCAATGTGAGTGTTTTTAATTCTGCTTCCCACTCAACAGCCTCCAAGACAAATTTCTGTTACACTCTCCAGTTAATTTGTGCATGGGAAATGTAGCAGCAAGGAAGCTGAGCTGCCAAAGAGCATGATCAAAATGCTCCAAGCTTCAGTTGAGCAGAGAATTAGCCAAGAGAGCAGGACACCAGCAGCACTTTGACACAGAGTCCAGAGAAATTAAGTTGCATTAAGCACAAATCCCCCAGTGGCTCCCACAGATGCTCGGTTCTATTGCCCGAGGGAGGCTCTGCACTCCTGAAACATCCCAAGTTGAAACAAAAAGGAATTTTCCAACATGCCTTGTGGCAGGATTTTAATGTGGATGTACCCAAAGGTCTTTCTGGCCAGTTCCTTCACATGGGTCATCTTATGGCATGGGGAGCACCAGGCTACCAGACATGGGAGGAGGAAGATCTCTGAACCAAACCCTATGGCATGAAGGATACTCACTCTCTACCATCTCTGGGTACTTAGAAACTCTTCATTTGGGCTAATTTCAAGAAAAAAAAGTTTGTTCTGAACCCCCAAAGTACCACACACCACCTTTCCCCACCACATTAAGTGCTATATTTAGAGAGAGAGGAGCATCTCTGCTCTCCTACCTGTGGAGTTCTGCAGCAGGAGACGACTCCTGTACTTGTGACAGTCCTCCCCAGGCTTCAGCAAGTACAAATCTGGGGAAAGTTTGATAGCAGCTACAGAATTTTTGATGATGTGGTGGATGAAAAACAATAAAATCTGAACTACAAGATATATCAGAAAAAGCAACAACCTGAAAGAAATAAAAAAATTCAGTTACATTAGAATTCAGCAAAAACCAAGCCAGTTCATGTGCATGTTATTAAAGCAACCTCTCCCTTGCCCCCAGAAAACATAACTTCAACAGCAATACTTGTTATTGTTGAAATGGAACTATGGGGAAAAAAAAATGAACTGCATCCTGCCCCTTCTCTGATATCTTTCAAACAGGTTTTGAAAATTCTGTCTATAAGTGAGAAGGCCTCAGTACTCACATAACTCTCAAGCATTTATTTTCCCTCTTGAGACTAAGGAAGTGAACTTTTGCTATGGTGGAAACCTGCTTCTTCCAGAGGGCTTTGTTGGTCATTGCTGGTGCCTTTGTCTCTGAGAGCATCAGAAGGCTCTGCTCCATGTCATCGAGGGATTTGGTATCCACCTCCTCCTGCACTTGCTGGGAATTGAACACACTATAATCTGAAAAAGAAGAGAGTTAAACTCTCCAGATGTGCTGTTCTGCCAGAGGCAGACACTCCTGCAAAAGCTTTGCAGAGCAGGATGGTTTATTAGTCTGTATCACACAGAAAGCTCTAGAAATATTAAGGCAGCTTAAACCATTCAAAGTTGACATCAGAAGAACTGATTAATGCTGGAATAATATTAAGTGCCCCCAACTTTTCTCTAACATGAATAAGTTCATTTAAAGGAGGGGAAGACAGACAAGTCCAGCTGTTTCAGCCTTACTTGCAGGTTACTAATATTACTTTTCACTCATAGGGCTGGAAATAAATTTTACACTGTGCATTTGCAGCTTCTTGCAAGTAAGTTCCATTAGAACAACAAAACACATTTTGAAAACTTTGCTAGAGGAAGTGCAACTGTAAAGCAAGGACGTGAGATGTGTGTGCACTGGATGAAAAAATCATTACTGCAGAGACAGGCAGCAATAAGCTTTTTCCCTGGATCCTCCCAGCAACACTTCCCACACAACTTGCTGCTTTTGTGTGCTTTTCATGTTAAATATTTGCTGGATGGAGCCCCCTCTGCAACAGGATTTTTCATGCTTACCTCCAGAGCCAGGTGCCTTCTGGCAGTGATGTGGCCTGGACAATTCCACCCTAATTTTAAATTAAATCAAATAGGAGGCAAAACAGCCAGGGACCATCCCACCTGCTTGATCAATCTCTGCCTCAACTTCCAGCTTCAGATAAACATCCTCCAGTGTCGTCATGGAGACGCCGTAGGTGATCACGCCCAAATGGGAATGAGTGTCCAGGTCAGAAAACAAGCCTGAGAGACACAAGGGAAACCCACTGATTGCTCTGGAACAGCATTGCATCACCTCCCTGAGAGATCATCAAGCCTACCAGGGGCATCCCTACAGCCTTCTGCGTGGTAGAAGAAAGCAGATAACATGTCAACTTCGTTGTTTACAAAGCCAGGTCACTGCTTGAGAATCAAGGTTGGAATAAGCTCTTTTTAGCAGAAAACTTCAATCTCTGTGGTCAGGTATAGACATAGGTCATGTTTTCTCCAAGCTGAAGTGTTTATGAAAACCACCTCAGCATCCTGAAGCTCCTGGGCTCAGAGCTGCCCCCTGGCTGGCTGCAAGAGCCCCTCTCCTGGAAACATTCCACATAGGGACTGTGGGACAGCTCATCCTACCTAGATCCCTGCCCAGACACAAAAAGATTTTACAAATTAAACCACTGAGTAATTATTTATATATATATAAAATACCCAGATCTGGAAAGCCAGCTTAACTGGGCAGGGGAACCTGGATGGCTTGCAAAGCTTGAAGGCCAAAATTATGTTCAGAGTGAGAACACTTGTTAACACCTTGGGATAAAAACAACACTACTGGGCTCTTGCCAGTCCCATGAAGGGAAGGACTTGACAAAATGAGGAGCTGCAGAGCCAAGGTCACACTGAAGGAAGACACAGAAGTGTAAAAAGAGGAGGACAGTTGGACACCCAGTGATGCTCGTAAGATCTCCACGATTTCTTCTGCTCCAGTAGCTAAGGCATGTTCCTAACTGCAGCTTCTCCTTCAAATCATTTGGGGGAATTGATTAAATCTAGCATAAAGTGCCTGGTTTTCAAAAGTACACAGAATGGCTGCTGAAGGTAAAGCTCATCAATTACTAAGTGGCTAAAATGCAACAGAGAAAAAAGCATTTATGACACGTGAGCTGCATCCACTGCAGTACTGATTCCCCTCTGCTTCCCACACAGTGCAGAGGCCAGGCTGCTTCTTCCCTTTTCTTGGGGGACACAAAGGAGAAGCCCTGTGTAGGACTGAGTAGATAATTGCTGCCATCTAGTGAAACCAGCACATCTGCTCCATGCTCCCTCTAACCAGGGAATCTGCTGGCAGTGACACAAGGCTCTCTGCAGCTCACACGGGGGACTGATTCTTGGAGGACTTAAGGCTTTCTGGCTTCCCACTGGAGACCAGCCCTGCTCATTAAAACACTCTGCAATAAGATAATGCTTCTCAAGGTCAAGGGGATTCAGAGAATCACAGAATCATTCTGGTTGGAAAACACCTTTCAGATCATTGAGTCCATAATCTATCTCTGCCAACCATTAGCTCAACTCTACCGACTCCAGGACTTAAACCATGTCCCTCAGCACCACATCTACACATCTTTTAAACACCTCCATGGATGATGACTCAACCATCTCCCTGGGCAGCCTGTGCCAGAGTTATCACACTTTCAGTGAGGGAATTTCTTCTAGTATCTGCTCTAAAGCTGCCCTGGCACAATATGAGTCCATTTCCTCTTGTCCTGATTCTTGGACAAAAGGGCCCCTTCACCTTTCTGCTAAAATCATCTCCCCAGCACTTGCTGCCAGGGACCCACATCCCTCTTAACAAATCACAACCCCCTTGGAGGAGGTGACGAGCTCCTCACTTGCCTGGGAAAGACCTTGCTGACTGATCACCAGCCAAACCTTAATGACCTTAAGGGTCCTTTCCGACCAAAACTATCCCATTAAATCACAGCCAAACCATGAATATGTACAAAAACTACATGAAAGCAGAAGTGAGAACGTAAGAAGAGCTGCAGGAGAGGGCCATGCTCGATGGGTCTCTCTCCTGTGGCAAACCAACCCCAACAAAGCCATCAGTACCTGCAAACTTGTCCATGTCCCTGAGGGGCAGGGTGTAGACGAGCTGCTCATCATTCTCCTGGATCAGGCTGGCTGCTGGGATGTGCTGCCGGATCAGCGAGGTCGTAGCCTCCGTGTTGCAATAGGCATCGATGTGCATGCTGAGAAAACACACCAGGAACTGGATTTTTTAGCTTGCTCCTCTCCTGACACCCGTGTCAGGGCAGGCAGAGCACCCAATGTTCAGCGTGGAGATGACAAAAGGATCTTTTATCAGGGGTGGGGAGTGCTGCCCTGCAGCTTTCAGCAGAAGACAAGGATATGTGATGTCAGGTAACAGGTGTCACAGAAATTGTACCTCAGGCGGTAGCCAATCCCCCATTTGCTCTTCAGAAAGAGAGAAGATCCAAGGCATTTCAGCATCCCTTGAGAAATCACAGCTTTGCGATCTAGAAATTAAAAAAATAGTAATTAATAATAAATCAAGAAGGCCCTTGGAATAGGAGAACTGACAATTTTCTCCCAAAAGCAACTCTATCTTTCAGATAAAGCTGTTCTCCGTGGTTAGAGAAGCATCACTTTCTGCTCTACAATGTGACCGGGTGGTACCTGAGGGGTCATGTCGTGGCAGGACTCACCAGCAAGAATATCAGCCTCATCCATGAAGTGGGTACTGAAAACAGTCACACGATTTGCCTTCCTGCTTTTGAGGAGGTTCCAGACGATGTGCCGGGAACACGGATCCATACCCGCGGTCGGCTCGTCCAGCAGCAAAACCTGAGCACAAGGACAAGCAAAGTCATCTCAGGAACCCCGCCCAGGGAACAAGTCTCACAGAATCATAGAATTCCAGGTTGGAAAGGACCTCCAGGATCAGCTGGGCCAACCTTTTTAGTTAATATAATCTGAGGTGGCTCAGCACCCTGTCAAGGTACAGGGCTTTGTGTTTGGAACCTGCTGGTGAGTCCTCTAAACTATACAGGAAATATCCTGGAGTAAAGCAAGGCAGCTGTTTTCTCTATGCTTTGAATAAATTCACCTCCTGTTGTCACAAATAGAAAAATAATACAGTAATTTAATGCCATAGTCTGTTTTCTCCAGTTTCTAATACATCTACATTTACCTATGGACTCACTCCTCCTGGCAAGGGATGGGTAAATACGTACACACGCTCCTAAAATCCCAGTGAATACATCTCCAAAAGCAGCCCCTGTTCTTACGGGCCAGGAATAACAGAGCTGCAACACAAAGAGCTCTCTGGTTCTGCAAGGAAAGTCTCTGACAGGTTCACCACTGGGGGCTAAATGTTACCTGCCAGGAATGACATAGAACTTGTCACACTATTTATTCCACACAGAGATTAAATCCCAAGCGACTGCCATTACCTCAGCTGTGAACATCCTCAAGCATAAAGGTTGAGCTACTTAAGTGATTTTAATCACCATCAGTGAGAAAGAGAGTGACAGAGTCACAGTAATAATTTCTGCACTTTGCATATTATCATATGTATTAGTTGGTTTTGACAAGAGACATCAGCCCTGAAGTGTCTTAGTGACAGCAACTGGGGAACTCCCACACTCACCTTCGGGTTCCCCAGAACAGCAACTCCTACCGACAGTCGCCTCTTCTGCCCCCCACTTAACTTTTTAGCTTGGTTGTCTCTGATAGGCTGCATATCCAAATCCAGCAACACTTTCTGCACCTTTCCAACATAAGAAATATATTCATTGTTAAAAAAAAAAGGCTACATTTAAAAAACCCCACATTATTAACAATTAACATTAAGTGTTCCTAATCCAGGGTCTTAAACTTCAGCAAACCTGAAGTTAAAAGGTGTATGTGCTTGAACACAAAGGATCTAAACTGTTTCATGAACATTTTAGTTTCCTAGGAGAAAATTAACAGTTTATCTTTGTAAAAATATCTGTCTGTACCATGGACTAGACGACCCCTAAAAGTCCCTTCCAACCCAAACCACTCCATGATTCTCTCCCTCCCTCTGCCTATTCCATCGTCACGTAACATTCCCCTGCCAAGCTGTCTGAAGGAAATACCTGTGCAGCCTAAGGGTTAACCCCACAGGTTAAAAATGAACATACAAGGCAATATTTGCAGCCAGCTGACTTACCTCTTGTATCAAATCATTCTGAGGGATTCCTTTAATGGCAGCAAATATGGAGAGATTCTCCTCCACGGTCAATATATCAAAGTGGATGTCAGACTGGGGACACACCCCTGCTATCTGGCGCACTTCCAGCATCTCATCAATTTCAGAGACTTTGTGCCCATAGACAGAGACAAACCCTGCAAAATAAAAAGGACAGGAGCAATCAAGAGAGAGATTTTTTTTATGGCCAGAGAGCAGGCTCACATGGACATGAATCTAAAGTGGGCTCTTCCAGACATTATCTGGTGAAAAATCTGATGAATCCTGAAACAACCATAAAGGTGAACAGCTTTGGTTTTCCAAAGGAGGACACCCCAAGTCCCCCCCCACCAGAGCAGCTCACCATCCGTGGGTGGGCACAGCCCACAAAGGATGTTCATCAGAGTGGTCTTCCCAGTCCCACTGTGCCCAAGCAGAGCCGTGATCTGACCTTCGTAGATGTCAAAGGATAAATCTGGTCCCCGGGGTGGGCGTGGAGGGAAGGAGGAGACATTAGTGATGTGCCTGTGGCACCTTCTCCTGCCACAGAGGTACATTCAAATCCTGCCACATGGGGTGTGTGCCTGGGCTCTACTTGAGGGGACACCTCACCTGCACACCCCAGCACAGGAGGGGGCTGCTGGGCAGTCCTGGCACTGGCTGTGGGCTGATCATGTTTAAAATAGGGAAATGAGATGGAAAGAATCAGGGAGATGGGCAGGGAAGATCATATCACTAACACCATGAGAGGAGGAGGAATAACCAGGATGGTAACAGCAGGGCTTCATAGAATGATAGAACCATTTGGGTTGGAGGTGACCTTAAAGCTCATCTAGTTCCAACCCCCCTGCATGGGCAGGGACACCTCCCACCAGACCAGGTTGCTCCAAGCCCCATCCAACCTGCCCTTGGACACTTCCAGGGATGAGACATCCACACTTTCCCTGGGTAACCAGGGATGTTCCAGTGATAGAAGGGCTCCTCTTTTCAGGGTACCATTTTAAACAAGGTTACTGCCAAAGCGGTGGGAGAAGACACACACAAGCACATCTGACATTCATACAGCCCACTAAAAGAAACCAAAAAGCCCCAACTGAAACACAAAAGACCACTCAACAATTCAGCTATTGCTCCTCTGCATCTGACAAGCAGCTAAAAAGCTAAAATGTTCTTACTTCGAAGAGCCTCCACAGTTTCCCCCTTTTTCCTGAATGTTTTCTGAACACAGCTGATTCTGAAAGAAGACATGGCATTTTATCAACTATTTTAGGACCTTTACATGTCATTTTGAAAGATCAACACTTGGCAACAGTCACAACAAGGTGACCATGCTACAGTGGCACCAGACACGTTAAAGACCCACAAAGGCAAATCAAGAGATGGGGTATCTTGTTGCAGAACTCGGTCCATCTCCACCCTGGTATCAGAAAGCTTTTTCTCAGAACTTTCTAAGGTATTTCCTATGATGACAGACTAAATAATATCAAGTCTGTTTCTTTCACACAGAACAAGGCACTAGAAAATGGAATGGCTACTCCCCAAGCATTTCCCAGTACAACAGAAGACTCAACAGACATGATACGGAAAAGGTGTTAGTAGAACAGACTCCAAAGATGGGATTCCTGACAGCTCTTGATCAAAACCAGGTAAAAGAAAGCCAGTAAAAACCTTCCTTCCTGTCCCACTGTTTTTCAAAATGAAAGAAACTCAACAGTGTATCTGAAGGCACCATGTGAAGGATGGGTTTTGGAAGCCTGGTCACCCTGAAAATGGGGATGGGGAGTGGATTACAGGTGTGAATAGTGGGGAGGAGAACTGGGTATGAAAGGAAACAAAACCTGTCCATGGAAAGATAAGAAAACGATGGAGAGTTGGTAGGGGGACGCTGTGGAAAAAGTCCAGGGTGGATGAATAATGTAAAAATGGTCACAATGTTCTCATGTGAACATCAGGATTAAAACTGGACCCTTCAACCTATAGCAGATGTCCAAAGAGATGTGGAAAGCTCAGGCACACAAGACCTGTTCTGGTCACTGAGCTCAAATATGTAACTGAGACTAGTGGAGCCAACTAGGAGTGAAACTGTAGAGCTCCCCCACTCACATCTGGCCCTGACATTGGGAAATGATGGGAAAAAAGGGCTAAAAAGAAGATACTGAAAATAATATCTGAGACACATTAAAAACATGTGACAGTCCAGATGAAAGACAAGAGGTGACACAAAACACAACGCAAATGATAAGAACATGGACACCCACTAATCAGTTTGGTTTTACCCTCTTAAATACAGCAGATGGGTAAAACCACCACAAAGGCTTCCTCTGGTCTACACAGAGCACAACAGCCTTCACACAAACTTAGAATTCAGCTTTTTCTCCTCAAATGTGCATTACCAGAAACTAAACCCTCCCAGAAGAGTGGGTGTTTCAACATCTGCAACCGCTTACGCCCCTTGTGGCCCCAGTGGAACTGAGGGAATGGAAAACCAGCCGCTTTTGAGAGGGCTCCAGCTGAAGGAACACAATCCACAAACAAACCCTTTTCTTTAAGGCCAGTGATTTCTCCTTGGAGAGCATCCATGTCATTGATGACGGGGCTTCACTGAGACTGTGTGTGCAGGGCTCTGCAGCGCATCCCACCTGCTATAGCTGAACCCAACCACTGGAGAATCCAGGGGGATTTTTCCCTTTCACGTGAATACGTCAGGGACCCAGGTGACCTGCTAACCTGTCTGTGGGGCAGGGCAGGAATCATACCTGATGGCTTCTTTCCCCTGAAATTCAGAAGGCACAGGCTCGACTATCTCGCTGAAGCTCAAGCTGCCGTTGATGCTGCTCTCGTACAACTCCTTGTAATTCTTCCTGTGCTTTGCCCAGAACGACGGCTTCATGAAGAAAAAGGGGGTGCGGCGGAGACCAAACTCCCCTGGAGAGCAAAGGGAAAAAGACCATTTCCTACCAGCAATTCCAGATATTCCTCAGCTTTAGGGCCTCAGCTATAAAAGCCATGAGCTATCCTGGCTAAAGGCTTGGGAGCCAGCCCACGCCCCCGTGGGATCTCATCAGCCAAGTTTACATTATCTGCATTTAAACCACAAGTGTGCTAGCAGGTTCCAGCTTTGCTAAGTATTTAAATGCATCTGCAAACCTCCTTCTGTGCAAGAGAAATCCCCAGGGCTGGAATAACAGTGACTTCAGCACAGGCGATACGACTCCAGGGAGATCAGAGGCCAAGGGAGCTGAAGGGCTTAACTGGGCATTAGTCACAAGATTAACAACTTTATTCTGTGCTTCACGTTAAAACTACTGCTGTCACAGGGAAAGGTCTGGAACAGGCAGAGTAGCCTTTAATTTTCAAACCTGCAAGAGCAAATCGCAAAGTTTGAGGCACCAGTTAAGCCAGTAATGAAGCTTTTCCTCTAGAAAGGTGGAGACAAAGTGTAGCTGGTGTAGGTAAGGGCCATCAATTCTAAACATGCTAACACCCCTCCTCACATCTCATAGCTTTAACAGAATGTACATTATTTCAGCTAAAAGTACCCTGAGTCATAGCATAAAATACATTTATCAACAGCAGCATCTCCCAGCTCCAAAGCTAAACTTAAGTCAGAAATGCCACCAGCTCTGTCAAACTGGGAAGCTCAGGGTTCAGGAACTGGTGATGCTGGCACAGTCCAGCTCACTTTCCTCCTGGACATACCTGGGATAACCTGGTCAAGGTAGACAGCTACAAGCAGGTAGAAGATGCTATCCAGCACCAACAAAATAAGAGAGATGAAGAGTGGGTAAGGACCCCGATTTATATTTGAAAGTGTTGCACCATCTTCATAATCTTCTAGATGCATGACCTGCCAACAAAGAGGGACAGAGGGAGATGTTACACACCAGCCCTGCACCAGCCTGGAAAGACACGAGAGCACCATGCAAAACTCAACAACAGAAAAAAACAAAATACAATTCAAAAGTGACTGAGACCACAGCAACAAACACAAAGACCAGCTCTTTGATGGTGTGCTGTGTTTTACTTGGTATGAGATAGCTGGGCAAGATACTACAATAGGCCTTTCCCCCCCTTCTATCATCAGTATATTTAAAAAATACATTTAAGAACATCCATATTAGTATCTGAGAATGATGCAAGACAAATGAGTACAATGAGGCTGCAGTGGGAGGAGCAGAAGTTGTTCACCTGTGCGACCCCGATCAAGAAGCTGCACTGACACAAGGGGCTGAGGAGCCACACAAAGGACTTGGGGAAATCTTCCAGCAGGACAATGTTGAGGCCCACAAAACCAAAGGCCAGCGTCGCCAAGAACTCCACTATGCCCACGTGCTTTGACTTTTTAAACAGAGGTGTCAGCATAAGTGCAAAGAAAACCTGAGAACAGATTGAAAGCAAAGGAAAAAAAAAAGGTAGTATGTTACAAATAAATAAATCAGTAAGAGAGGGTATTGAAAAATTAGAGTAAAAAGACCACAGCTTCACTGTTCCCTCTGACAAGCAAATCATTTTCCTCACATAGGCACTACAGCATTGACCCATGTCCCAAACTCCCCTTACAAAGAGACCAACAGGAGGGACAGTTTCCCAGAGATGCCAGGTTAGAGAGCACAGAACAAAATTATAAAACAAAATTAAGGAGCCACGTGGCTGAGTGTGCATCTGCACCCTGCTTAGTTCAGCCTCTGGAAATGATACAGTAAACAAGTAACTAGTTTTGCAGTGGGTGCTTCTGAACTCAAGACAAGCAATTTGCTGTATAAATTAATTCTCTGATCGTAACTGGGGTTATAACATTGCACTTAAAAGTAATAGCAAATGTTTAGAAGAGGACATGGTTTTGGAGCTCCAAACAGTGCTGTACAGACAGGGTTTTCATTTCCATGAGAAGATTATAACCTCAAATACTTCAGTAAGAAAGGTATTTCTCATAGTGATGGTCCAGACCTGTACAACATCCCAACCCATAGTGGGGCCATGGAAGGGGATAGGGACAGGAGATCCCACCACCACTTGGTCCTACACAAGCAGCACCTGTTCCAAATGTTTTAGTGGAGAGAACAAGAGAAGATGGGAAAGGGAAAAAGAAAACAGGGATGGGATGGCTGAAGTCAGTGAGACCAGGAATACTTACTGAAGAGATTCCATACAGGAAAAAAAGGAGAAATATCACAAAGGCACTGCTCTGGGGAAAGAGGGAAGAGGCCGTTGCAATCACTGCCATGAGAATGGACATGACAAAAATCAGACTCATGTAGAGCAGCACCCAGGAAAGCCTAGGAGCAAAGGGGGAAAAGGAACAGAAATCAGTCAATGAATTTGCCGAATTATTCACACACAAAAATAGCTATAGCTGCCATTCTTTAATATTCCAGACAGCTGCACCAAAGGACAAGCTTGGAACAAAACAAGAGCCCCCAAATAAAAAGAGCTCTTGTAAACATCCCTCTAATTGTTCCAGGCATTAGAGCACACACATCAATACCCACGGCATCAAACAGATACACAATGACACGATTCACTAGTTATTTATTTAATTTTTTTTAACTTGCATAATTAATTCCCTGGTATAACCAAAAGAGGATAACAGAGTAGTAGGTTTCAATAATTAAAGCAACTCTATTTAAAATTTAATACACAAGTCATTCCAGTAGCTGGGCAGGGTAATAAAATCCTTTTCAAGAACAGAGCTGCAAGTCTGCGAGTAATTCTGACCTCGTGGCTTCTGTACAGGTAGTAAGAAAAATGACACGTTTTCCCCAGAAGCAAGCTGCTGAGTTCTACTCAGTGCCTGAGCCAGGCTGCATTACCCGTGTGCCTTTGCAGATCCACTCTCATTTCACTCAGGGAAAAAGTAAATTGATTTTTTCCAGACCCGAGACGCTCGGCACTGCCGCGCGAGAGAGGACAGCACAGACACTGCAGGTGAAGGACTCAGCTGAAGAAGAGTTGTCACCAAGGACATACCACAAACAAACAGAATCAGCTTCCAGGAAAGAGCTTGGGTGCAGAAATAAAAGAAAAGTAACCAGGGGGAAGAAAAAGAATTGAAAAAAGAGAAAACCCATCTGGCTGTTACCGTGGAGCAGGGAAAGATGCTGAGGCATCGTCAGCCACAGTGACAAGGGGCACAACTAAGCCCCTTGTATTCCTCCAACTATCAATCATTTCAAATTATTACATTCTCTCATTTGGAAAAAATCCCCAAAACTGCACAGGAAAAATTCCATCATGGTAAGGAAACACATTAAAGGCTGTTGCTCAGACTGCTCTGCCACGTTAAAATTACAGATTGAGATTCATTTAATTACATGACATGGAAATGCTGCTGATAAACTCTGAAAAGAGACCACAGGTTACCTGTTCAGCCTCCAGAAAGGAAAGCCAAAAATATTTAAAACCAATAAAAATAAACTACACAAAAAAAATCTCACACATCATCACACTTAATCCCCCTAAGCCTGGTGGGATTTACATGCAGAAATGCAAGAGCATTACTCTGCTTTTTTCTTCCTATTTTCATGATACTGCAAGTATCTCTGAGCTGGATTTTACTGAGTATCTCACTTTAAGGCTGCTTTCAGTTAGTCAGACAAAACAATTAGAGGAGTTTTCTTAGAATGTGGGTTTTTTAAATATTTCTTCATATATTTTCTATTTCTTCTCTAAAGACCAGGTTACACCAAACACTCACGTACCAAAAGGCGGTGTCATGAAGTCCCAATATTTTTAGGAATTCCTTCAACTTCCTCTCCTTTTCTGCCACAATATGGATTGCCAAATAATACCCAAAGGGTGAGAAAGCAATCACTAGGTAAATCAAAATGATTGCACGAGGAAAATTATCTATTTCCACCACTGCAGCCTCTCCCATAACCACCGCTCTGGTCAGTTCCAGTTGTTCCCAAACGGAATGGTTGGTCTTCAGCTGGAAGGAAGAGAAGGAAGAGCTATTTTTGCATTACTCCTGATCTTACAGCCCTGCCCCAAGTTTATTCATGTTTTGATGACCACTGTGCTGTCTGGTTCAGGCTCATTTGGACACAAATGAAGACAAATGTCAACATTACTCAACCAGACAAGAACACTTCTGACCAACACACAGCAGAACAAATGGGAAATATTCTGCCTGCCCCTCATATTCCAGCTAATTTTTGGTATGACATTTTACACAGTCAATGGACACCACCACAAAAAGGGCCAAAGCAAGTCCCTGGATTTGAACCTCCTTGGGTTGATGATGTTACTTTTGCAGGGTTACCTGTATGATGGCAGCATCAATGCAGGCCTGCAGAGCCAGAAACCCTGAGCTCCAGTAGGTCACTGACTCACACCCTTTCCGCAGGCTGGAGCAACTGGCTGCAGAATAAAGTAAGAGGTTACAAAATACATTAAAAGAAGAAGAAGAAGAAAAAATAAAGAGTTACAGCTGCCCCATTGCCACTGTAAAGCTGGCACAGTTTGAGCCAGCCCTCAAAAACGGTGGAAACAACTTCTAAAAAACCCATACATGTCATAACAGCCCAAAAAAGAGGAGGTGATTTCTCAATTTAATCCCCTTACAGAGCAGAGATAAGAGATAAGAGTGTGCACGTTTACCTCTGGATTCCATATAAATGGAAGACATGGCAACAGAGTCAGGAAACCTCAGCTGGTAGGACATGGCATCAGTGAACACAACCCCCACGAAGTTGGAGGGTTTAAAAGCACTAGCCTCTTGCAGCTCCTCTTCACTTAAATACTCCTCAGTGATGATATCTGCAAGAGACAAGAAATTCTCATGTTGATTAAGGTATTAGCACAGCAGGAAGAAAAACTGCAATGGTTTTAAAGACATATCATGTTAATCATTAATGATTTACTTGGATTTGGAGATATATATATATATGGCTATATTTTTGTCCTAGTAAAGGAACTCTTTTCCTGAACAGAATTTTCCTACAGGAGTTTCACTAGTAGGATGGGAAATGATATATATATAGATATATATATATATGGTTATATTTTTGTCCTAGTAAAGGAACTATTTTCCTGAACAGAAGTTTCCTACAGAAAACCTACAGGAGTTTCACTAGTAGGATGGGAAATTCAAATTCACCCCCAAGTCTGCCCCTTCGTCCCCCATTTTTTGCTGCTCCAAGAGCTTCTGTGCCCCTCCTCTGCTGACTATTCAAGAATTTACTCTCCACCACCAGCACTGTCCAAGAAGGGCAGATTTAGCCAATGCAGAGGGCTAAATATATCAAAATGGGGTATTTTACCACCCACTTCAGCACTATTAATAGGAATTAAGATTTTTAAAAAAATAATTTAAAAAATCACAAAATGTTGTTTTGAAACTAACAAGCTAGAAAACACAACCTAAGATGCCTGAAGGGCAGCAGCATCTCCTGAATTTGGCCCAGGACCAATCCCAACTGACCCTAGAGCTGTTCAGGGGCTTCTTGTTCTCTGCATTTGGGTCCTCCCAAAACCTTTCCCACAGCCACGTAGCACTTGTTGGCTGCAGCAGGAGAACAGGAACCACTTTAAGATGGCAACACCACAACACATGGTGAGCAAACAAAACCAAACCACCTTCACAGTCTGTTCTCTATCTGTGATGGAAGAGAAGAGCATTTTTTCCTGTCAGCAGCAGCCAAGTGAGCTCCCTCTTCAAGCAGAAGTCACAGCCTGAGATATACTCAGAAAATCAGAATGCTTGGGTTCTGAATACCTTCTTCAAAGTAATCAAAAGCCACCTTCTTCATGATTTCTCGTGCCATGCGGGTTGGTGGGGTGTATCCAATGACAAAATTCACCACCATGGAGGTATCCAGGGTGCCAAGGTTGGTGTTGGCCACCTCATCGTAATTCCTGTGCGGATGCATCATGCTCATCAGAATGAGCCAAAACAAGAAAAAGAGTGGGAAAAGGACCTCCTGGATGAAGAAAATAAATCAATATGAAAAATTCAAAGGTCAATTGTAGAAAGAAAAATTTCTGGAAGTTCATCTTAGTTACACAAAGCTTAAAGGAGGGACTGAGAGTTCAATCACTTGACTGGAAAGTTCCCCAAATGTTTCTGATGCAACAATAACTTTAATGCCAAACCCTTCTCTGGCACTGAAGAAGGATTTTCATTGCATGTATTGGTAACTGAAGCCATTTTAAGGTACAAAGGGATAATTCTACGTGCTTTAAATATCAGCAAATGCTGGGAAAGTAGCAAAACACAAACCATGACCCCTTAAAAAAGTCTAGTCAAGCCCTGTTCTGCCTCTTCACCTCAAAACTGATCTGAAAGTATCATACACATCAGCTCTGCACAGGGCCAAACTGTTAGAAAAGATTAAAATCTTCTGGAGGTTTAATCCTGTTTTACTACTCAGTTATGGGTGCAAATGTTTTTTTTACAAGTGCACTCAGATTATTGCAATATTAATTCATGGATATTTTCTGGATAATGCTTTACACATTAGGACACTTTTTCAACAACAGGACCATAAAATAGCTTCTGAAAAAAACTACTTCAAGCCAAAATTCAGAGCAGACTGTGAAGTCTCAAACATTCTAACAAAACTGAGCATTGTGTCTGACTCAGCAGCCACTCAAATGCAGATTAACTGCAGACACAAGGCAGCAGTAAACAAGCACTGTGCTTACCTGAACGCTGCTTTTTTTAGTCCTACACTTAATAAGACAGTTCTTGAATAAGAGAGCTCGGGTTTGTCTCCATACTCCTGCATCTCTTGGTGCTGGTGCCATTTTCCAAGTCTAGTTTGAGAAAGAAAAAAAGCAACAAACAAGCAACAAACCAAATCCCCGGGAAACGACAAAATGAGTTCAAAAGGAAAAGCCAGGCAGTTAAAGCATTCAGTATATCATATATTCTCATTTGAAATTTTTCATATTTTAAGTGCCTTCCACATATATGTTAGATGTCCATTAGATGAAGAAGTTGATAGTACTCATTTGTAATGGGAGAACTTGGGGAAGTGGCTGGGAAAGCTGCAGGATGCTGTTGGAGCAGAACTTGCTCTACACAAGCTCACAAGACTCGAGCTGACCTTGGCTTATTTTCATTGTGCTACATATAAATTACAACCCAAAGTATTTATCTGGGACCACAGTTCCAGTGTCCATCACATGGGCTGAGGGCAGCCAGCCAGACCCATGCATCTGAAAACAAGAGCCATCTCACCCGGGGCAAACTGTTCAATTTACCAGCAGTAACCCCTTTCCATTCTGGAGCAGATCCAACTCTACTACTCTTTATTTTTTACCTTTTCACTGGGCCAGCTGCACAGCCCAGTTGTGCTGAACATAACTGGGGGGAAAAATAATAAATAAAATTGAAAATGCTTTTCCAGGAGACAGCATCCCATCCCACCAAGACTTACCTGGTGAAGGACAGCAGGCTGAGGAACGACCAGCAGGTTTTTATCCTCAGTTTTGTCACCACTTTGCTGCTTGAGGTTTGGAGCCCCTGGTCACTCTACATCCCTCTGTGTTTTCTCACCTGGGAAGTTGAAACACCCATGAGCTGCTCAGCAGAGACAGCAGGAGAACCAGTGCAGCTCCTCACATCACCACCCTTTCCAGCTCCCCGACTGCTCCAGCCACCAGTCCCACCTGCAGCAACACCCACACACCACAGGTGAACAAGTGAACCAGTTCTCAACATTTCAGCCCAAACACAGGGCACATTTTAAGGATTCATCCACATTCCAGGTTTCACAGCTGCCGACACGTACTCAAAAAGCAGAGGGGTGTTTTTGGTGCCTGCACTTTCAGAGCAGCTCTGCAGCAGGACCCTGCTTCTCCGGTATCTGACACACAACACGTGGATCAAGCTTCCTTTCCCAGCTGTATTTGAACATGGAAATCTATTTTTGGAGCACAGAACCATCCAACTACAGAAGCACACGAGGTTGCTCAGATGTCAGCGCTGCTGCCGCGAGCTGAGCTTGGAGAACTTCAAACACCCCAACTGCTGACAGACAAACAGCCCCACCACAGCCTGCCCTTCTCTGAGTGTAGGAGGGAAGAGAGGAGGAGAAAGGCATCCTCAAGCAGTCCAACTCCCTGCTCACGTTTCCTTTGCAGGGTGGTGGGGGGGTCCCCACAGGGCAGTGACCCCCAGCAGGCACAGACAGCAGAAGGAGCTGCAGGGGACATGGCTGCACATCCCTGAAAACAAAGCCCTGGGAAGAGGTCCCACCTGGAGCCTGCAGTGCTGCTCCTAACAACCCATTCAATCTACTTCATAACATTTAAAAACCCTTTTACATTAAAAAAACCCCAAAACCCCCCACAAAAACACACCACTAAAAAAAACCAACAGAAAAAGAACACCACCCAAAAATGCACAAACATCAATCTATGCTAAGAATTAATCCTTACATGAAAAAAACACCTTCAACTCCTCCGGATATTTTCAAGCAAGAAACGCTTTAAAATGACAGCAGAGTGCTTTAAAAAATAATCCAAAGCAGCAGCAATTGCTTCCTGGTTTTACAAACTGCTGTGCTTCTCCCTCCTGCTCGCAGCCCTGCTCAGTGCTCGGGTTTCCACCAGTTGCTTCCAGGAGCAGATCTCAAGTGCAGAAGCTCCACCAAGCTCCCTGCTGAATGCACACACCCACATTACAGCTCCTACCCCTTCCCTCAGTCATACACTCCTCCCTTTAATTGAAATCCAGAAAATTGGCAACGCTGATTTAATCAGATTCAATCACTAATGACAGTTACTGCTTCTGTAATTATTTTCTCTCCAGTTATAAAAAAAAAACCAACAACCCCACAAACAAAACAAACAACCCAGTAACACTTTCACCTCTTCACTGGAACACTTTCATGCTTTAATTTACCTCACCTAGGTTGGAGAAAGGGTCATGATATGAATGTTAATTAATTTCTTGACATCACACCTGCCATCTCTACTTAAGCTGATGAAGCTCCCTAACACATCATTAACAACAGTGAAGCATCACTTGAATAGTCAAGAACTGTATCAGGGTAAAAAAAATCCAAACCCTCCTGGAAACTCCAGGCCAGGAAAATAAACACACAGGCTGAACAGAAAAAAAAGAAGCTGCCAATAGATTTGTTTGAATAATCCTGGACAAAATGAAAATACTTTTAACCTGCCAAAGTTCCCCCCAGTTCAGTCACTTCCCTGTGATCTTGTACTGACAGGAGAAGCAGCTGAAACACATCTACTTATGGGCATCTCCAGCAAAGAATCTCAAGGAAATTATTGGGTTTATGCTTTAATTCCACGCTGGAGATGACAGTGTTTCTTACAAGAGGGAAATAATGACCAGAGGTAGGTAGCAGGACATCCCTCCCACCCCCAGACATCCACCCCACCAGGGCCTGTGAGGGTGAGTCCCTGTGGGGCTTCACGTCACTTTCCCCTTGGTCTTTAAGCTAAAAAAAAACCCCAACAGGGAGGGCTGAGCTTCAGCTAACTGAGCTGGGCTGGAGAGGAAAAAAAACCCAAGCAACTTATCAGTTGTTTTATAAACAACACCTGCAGAAAGATACAAAAATGCCATTATTGATCTTGCTGCAAGAAAACAGCAGCATAAATGAGAGTTCAGAAAAACTCCAGTGTGCCTTTTACTCTTCCTAAATTATTTAAGCTGAATGTTTTATTTATGCATTCTTAAAAATGGGCTGAATTTTCTTCCTTATCTGAATCCCCGGGGAAACAGCTGTGTCCTCGGCACAGGAAGCCCAACTGCAGAGCATTTCCCTCCCAACTCATCCTCACTGAGCTGCAGAACCATGAAATAACCCCGAGCAGCCCCAAAACCAGGCCGGGCCGCTCGTTCCCAGCGCTGTTCCCCCGCATCCCTCCTCCCTGCACCCCCTGCACCCCCACATCCCCGCTCCTCCTCCCTGCACCCCCACG